TCTGCCGAAAGGAAGAGCCAAAGAAACATCTCCCAAATGGAAGAACAGAACAAAACTTCAGAAACAGAAAAAAATGGAGGCAAACAACCTACTAGATGCAGAGTTCAAAATACTGGTTAATAGGATGCTCAATAAACTTAGGGATGAGTAAATGAACTCAGAGCTTGAACAGAGAGATAGGAAATTAAAAACAACTAGAAAACATTGAAAAGGTCAGAAATGAAGACTATATTAACTGAAACGAAGAATACATTACAGGGAATCAACAGTGGAGTAGATGAGGCTAATGATCAAATCAGACATGTGGAAGATAAGACAACAGAAAAGAACTAATCAGAACAGCAAGAAGAAAAAAGAATTTAAAAAATGAGGATAGTTTTAGGAGCCTCTGGGACAACTTTAAGCACAATGACATTGGCATCACGGGGGTGCCAGAAAGAGAGAGAAAGCAAAAAGTTGAAAACCTACGTGAGAGAATGATGATGGAAAACTCTCCTCAAGGTTAGTAGAGTTTTCCATCATCATTCTCTCACGTAGGTTTTCAATTTTTTGCTTTCTCTCTCTTTCTGACAGTGAAGGCAATAGACATGCAAGTCCAGGAAGAGCAGAGAATCCGAAACGAGATGAACTGAAAGAGGCACACCCAAGACACCTAATTAAAATGCCAAAGGTTAAAGACAGAATCTTAAAAGCAGCAAAAGAAGAGCAGTTTGTTACCTACAAGGAAGCTCCCGTAAGACTGCCACCTGATTTCTCAACATAAACTTTGCAGACCAGAAGTGACTGGCAAGAAATATTCAAAGTGACAAAGAGCAAGGACCTACAACCAAGGCTACTTTACGCAGCAAAGCTCTCATTTAGAATCAAAGGACAGATAAAGAGCTGCCCAGACAAGAAAAAGCTAAAGGAGTTTGTTACCACCAAACCAATTTTGCAGCAAATGTTAAACGGCTTGCGAGGGGAGGGGGTAGGGGAAGGGGAAGGAGGAGAAGCAGGAGAAGGAGGAGACAGAGAAAAAGGAGAAGGGGGAGAAGGAGGGAAGGGGGAAGAAGAAACAGAAAAAATAAATAAAATAGCAAAATGATAATACATAAATATCTATCAATAATCACTTTAAACGCAAATAGCTAGAATGTTCCAATCAAAAAACACAGAAGCTAAGTAACATGTTATTAAACAATGAATGGGTTAACAATGAGATCAAGGAAGAAATCAAAAGATACCTTGAGGCAAATGAAAATGAGAACACAACCACCAAAAATCTATGAGACACAGTGAAAGCAATACTAACAGGGAAATTCACACAATAACAGGCCTATCTCGAGAAACGACAAAAAGCTCAAATAAATGACTTTACACTGAAAGGAACTTGAAAAGGAACAATAAACAAAGCCCAAAGTGAGTAAAAGGAAGGCAATAATAAAGACCAGAGCAGAAATAATGATATAGTCTTAAATAATATAAAAGATCAATGAATCCAAGAGCTGATTCTTTGAAAAGATAAATTAAGATTGACAAACCTTTAACCAAACTCATCAAGACAAAAAGAAGACCCAAATAAGTCAGAAATGAGAAATACAAAGGATTTATTTTTTAAATTAAAAAAATTTTATTTTATTTTTAGACAGAGGGGAAGGAAGGGAGAAAGAGGAGGAGAGAAACATCAATGTGTGGTTGCCTGTCCCACACCCCCAACTGGGGACCTGGCCTGCAACCCAGGCATGCGCCCTGACTGGGAATCAAACAGGCGACCCTTTAGTTCACAGGCCAGCACTCAATCCACTGAGCCATACCAGCCAGGGTGCATTTGTATTTCTGACAACAAAGAAATACAAAGGATTATAAGAAAATAGTATGAACAACTAGTCATACCTTGGTACTAGTTGGCTGCAGATCTCATCAAACTGTCAAACTGTACCTGTCGAATTTTGACAAAGAAAATGTTTCAGCATTCAGTGTTTGCTTGGGACCTGTCACACTTGCTAGAACTTCTATATATCACAACACTGCCCCTAAAGAGAAAGTCCTTCATCGTCTGGTACTCTTGGGTTCTGGCACTCACCATTAGGTTCGAGAGCGAATTAATGCTGAGTACCAAGGTACCGCTGTCTATGCCAACGATCGGACAACCTGAACAAAATGGATAAATTCCTAGAATCATACAATCTTCCAACACTAAGTCAGGAAGAATCAGAGAATCTGGATGAGAGATTACACCTAGTGCAACTGAAGCAGTAATCAAAAAATTCCCAACAAATAATAGCCCTGGACCAGATGGCTTCACAGGTGAACTTTAACAAACATTCCTAGAACTTACACCTCTCCCTTCTCAAACTATTCAAAAAATTCAAGAGGAGGAAAGACTCCCAAGCCCATTTTACGAGACCAGCACTATGCTAATTCCAAAACCAGATAAAGACACTACAATAAAAAATTATAGGCCAATATCCCTGAGGCTAAAATCCTCAATAAAATCTTACCAAACTGAATATACCAATATATCTAACAGATCATACACTATGATCAAGTGGGATTTATTCTGGGGATGCATGGTTGGTACAACATTTGCAAATCCATAAACATGACATACCACATAAAATTAAGTATAAAACCATGATGTCAATAGATGCAGAAAAAGCATTTGGTAAAATCCAGCACCCATTTATGATAGAGGGAATGTACCTAAATATAATAAAGGCCATATATGAGAAACCCACTGCCAACATCAGACTCGGTGGGCAAAAACTACAAGTACTCCCCTTAACACCAGGAACAAGACAGGGAATTCTGCTTTCACCTCTCTTAGTCAACACAGTCCTGGAAGACCTAGCCACAGCAATCAGATAAGAAATAAAAGCATCCAAATTGGAGAGGAAGAAGTTATCTGCAGATGACATAGACAACCCTAAAGATTCCACCAAGAATCTACTAGAACTGGTAAATGATCAGGAAAGCAGCAGGACACAAAATGAACAACCAGAAATCAATCGCGCTTTTATAGGCCAACAACGAACTATCAGAAAGGGAAAGTAAGAAAACAAGCCCATTCACAATTGCTTCAAAAAGAATAAAACACCTAGGAATAAATTTAACCAAGGATGTAAAAAACTTATACTCAGAAAATTATGACACTGAAGAAGATACAAGTGGAATCACATACCGTGTTCATGGATAGGATGAATTAACATCATTAAAATGTCCACACTACCCCAAGCAATCTATAGATTCAGTGCAATTCCCATCAAGATCCCGATGATGTATTTTAAAAAACTAGAACAAACATTTCAAAAATGTACATGGAACCAAAGGCTCTGAATAACAACAGTGATCTTGAGAAAGAAGATCAAAGTTGGAAGAATCATATCACCTAATATGAAACTATGAGGCCACAGAAATCAAAACAGCATGGTAATGGCATAAAAACAGACACACAGATCAATGGAACAGAACAGAGAGCCCAGAAATAAACCCATGCCTTTATAGTCAATTAATATTTGATGGAGGAAGCAAGCACATACAATGGGCTAAAGATAGTTTATTCAATAAATGGTGCTTAGAAAAGTGGACAGATGCAGAAAAATGAAACTAGACCACCTTCTTACACCACACACAACAATAAATTCAAAATAGATTAAAGACATAATGTTAGACTCACAACCATAAAAATATTAGAAGAAAACAGGCAGTAAAATCTCAGACATTGCCCATAGCAATATTTTTTCTGATATATCTCCTCAGGCAAGGGAAACAAACAAAATAAATGGCAATACATAAAACTAAAAGGTTTTTGCACAACAAAGGAAATCACCAACAAAATAAAAAGGTAATACACAAAATGGAAGAACATATTCACTGATACATCTATCTGATAAAGGGTTAATATCCAAAGTTTTATATATATAAAGAACCTGTAAAACACCAAAAAAAAGCAACAACCCAATTAAAAATGGGAAAAGGACCTGAATAGACACTTTTTCAAAAAGGATGTACAAATGGCCAATACAAATATAGAAAGATGCTCAATGTCACTAATCAGAGAAACACAGGTTAAAACCACACTGAGATCTATCTCCTCACACTGGTCGGAAGGGCCATCACCAATAAATCAACAAACAAGTCCTAGTGAGGGTGTGGAGAAAGGGGAACCCTTTTGCACTGTTAGTAGGAATGCAGACTGGTGCAGCCACTGTGGAGAGCAGTATGGAATTTTCTCAGAAAACTAAAAATGGATCTGCCTTTTGACCCAGCAATTCTACTTCCAGAAATTCTTCTGAAGAAACTTGAGGCACTAATTTGAAAGAACACAAGCATCCCTGTGTTCACTGCAGCGCTCTTTACAATAGCCAAGATCTGGAAGCAGTCCAAGTGTCTATCCATTGGTAGATGAATGGATAAAACAACAACTATGGTACATTTGTACAGTGGAATACTACTTGGCCATAAAAAAAAAGTTTACTCTTTGCAACAACATGGATGGACCTGGAGAACATTACGCCAAGTGAAATAAGCCAGTTGAAGAAAGACAAATAGCATATGACTTCACTCATATGTAGAATCTAATGAACTGAACAAACAAGCAAAACAGAGACAGACTCGTAGACAGAGAATAGGTGTACAGCTGCGGTAGGGGGAGGGGTTAGAGGTTACAGTGCTAGAGAAAAAAAAGGACTCATGGCCAAGGACAACAGTGTGGTAATTGCAGGGGGCGGGGGGAAGCTGGAGGTGGACAAAGGTATAAGGGAGATCAATGGCGCTTAAAAAGAAAGAAAATAAATAATTTTAAAAAAAGACACACATGGGAAGCAAAAATTTCTAGTCTGGTTTAAAAAAGTAATGCAAGGATTTTGAATTGGCCTTGCCAACAACCTGGTGAATCAGTCTGTTGAGTGGTGCATAATAATAAATAATCAAAGACGACATTACAATTTTGTAAACAGGCATTACCTATTTAATAAGTACAATATATACATAGAATTCTCTTATTTACAAAATGAACAGTGTAATCAAATTAAAGATCATCTGTACAATGCACACACGTATATATATATATATATATGAACTTTGGAAGATAAACAGTTTCATCCTCAGTCTAAATGGACAGCCATATTGCATTTTTAAGAAAGAACTTCATTCCAGAAGAAAAATATAACTTTCACATACTATTTTATTTTTCATTTATTTTCCTGAAAATTCTTGATAATTTGGATACTTTTTCAATTTACTTTCTCTTGTTCAGCCTTGACAAATTTTTAGGTTCCTAGTGCCACCAACTGGTGTTAAAAATTAACAATCTTAGTGTCACAAAAGAATTGTTTTAAAGTAAGAAAGTTCTTTAAAAAAATTAGCTACAGGAGTCAACATTCATAAGGCAAAGCAACCATACTGGAGAACAACATGATTGATAAAAACATTCTCACCAGGGCAGCTACGTAACATTTACAATATTAATGGTTTCTAATTTTTTCTTTTAATCATAAATATTGGTCTAATTTATATGTAAAATCTATAGAAAATAACATACTGCAAAACAAAATTTGGAAACACACAACGGCATGATTAGGTCATCTTTACGAGTATCGCGTAGGCATTAATTATTTACTAAAATGGCAAAAACTGAATGCCATTTTATGGTCTTTGGATTCCCCCCCCTTTTTCTCAAGGAGTAATTAAACATCAACCTGTAACGAAAGTGTGAAAAAGTGTGTAAGTACCAAGAAAACAGCAATGTGCTCTCAGTGTGCCTCAGTAAGCATTCATTTCCCAAAGCTACGTGCCAGAGTGAGGCTTTCGGGTCACCTGCTTACACAGGTGGATTGACCCTCTTCCCAGGGGGGCTGGCTGTGAGCTGCAGGGGCTCAGAGAGCTGCCCCTCCCCCCCATTTCCTCCAGAATATTTTCGCTAGACCATCAGCTCCAGGTCAGGAACTGCTCAGTCTGGCCTGTCCACCAATACAATGACAGTACCCAGTATGATGCCAGGCAACAGTAGATTTTCAATGTGTTTGTGCAATGAATAAATAACATATTGGTAGCCTGACAAAATTTAATTTCAAGATAAATTGTTTTAAATGGCGATGAAGGAAGTTAAAAACACCGAAGTTCAAACTCCTCATTCTGCTCAAAGACACCACTTTCACCCCTTAAAAGAGGCTGAAGTTTGAAGAGGCATAGAGAAAGAGGATCACAGTACACAGTCACTTTAAAAATGAAACCTGGTGAAGTACAGACAAACATACCTACAAAAAAAATCATTTCCTGCTCAAAGAAACCAGAAGAGCCTTTGATGTGTATGATTCATAATGAGCACATGAACCAAATCTTCCCGCAGAGCCGAGGCTTCTCCAGACCATTTTCCTCGTCCGGACACCCGGCTCTTCCCTCCCTGTGTTCAACGCCGTTAGGGCAGGAGGCCCTCTCAACCCTCACAGCAGGGCTGCCCGCAACCCGCGTAGACAGCGATCTCACGTATGTGCATCTCTGTACATTTTGCTCAGTCCTGATTCATATAAAAAGGATAGAGTAGAAACTAAAGAACACAAGAAAAATAAAGTGTTTTCTTCAGAAGTTTTCCATAGTTTCTTACATTTGTTGGGGGGGGTAGTAATAAGTCTAAATATGGTTTATAATAGCCTTCTTGTAAAGTTGTTGCAATGTTAAGCTTCTCCAAATGAATGGTGGTACAAATGTCAATATTGGAATGGCTCAATATTGTATGTACTAAATGTGTACGTATGTTTTTAAAAGTATATAGACACAGAACACTGGATCTGACCACTGTTTGGTCTCCATTGATATCTTGTCTTAGAAGAAAAAAACTTGTAGTGTTAGAATTTGGATCACATAAGAAGCTGTAAAAACAGTTATGTTGGCTACTCTATTCATTAGAGTATCAACTGTATGTCTAGAAGCAAATGATAAAATAATTCAGATTTGATTGCACTAACCCTCTTATTTTATTGTGATAAATTACTATTGTTAAAAGGACAAGACGTATTGTGGTAAGACATACTTTTTACAGCTATTTCAAAAATAAAATATTTCTAAACGTGTATTTCCATTTTGAAGTAAAAAGATTTTGTTTTTGGATGACAATATGTAACACAATATACCAAAAAATACAACAAATCATCTAATCTTTAGTAATTAACTTTTTAAATGATGGTGACTTAAAAGAGGCTGAAACACTTCAAAGCGGCGCTGCCACCGTGAGCCCGACTTCGCCGGCCACGTGAACCTCTGAAGGCCTTCAACCCGCCACTGCAGCGCTTACTGAAGGGGGAAAGAGAATGCAAACCCCTGAAACACAGTGAGGCTTGCTATAAGACAAACATATGATGAACTGTGAAAAAAACCACACACAGAAATTCTAACAGGTGAGGAATTATAAGAAGTGAGACAAAATTCAATGACACAGAAATACTGATACTACGACTGGCAACATTAAAGCTGCCACATCTTAAATAAATATTGTAAAAACTCAACAGGATACATACATTTGGCTCTAAAATTCCTTTGGTTCCAGAGATGTAGTTACTTTGTGTTTTAAGTAATATGCCAAAACACCATATTTGGGGACTGTACGTCACTCCAGTAGAGCACGTAATGACATCAGTGATAAAGGGTGGGCGTTCGACAGCACAGAATGGGTGCATCTCTTGAGAGCAGGTTCTTCACAGATATTTAAAAAATTTATCTTTACACTTGATCTCAGTAAAACTAAAGTATTTCAGTTTCAAAAAATTCATTATTCATCTGTTTCAAGAACTAATCCATTTCACATTTTAAAATATAACTAAAGTCCACAGGAATTTTCTAAATGAGCATGTTATTTAAAATCATATTTTATGTAACTGAAGATTTTAAAATATCAACCATTAAACAATTCAAATGTGAAAAAATGTACCTAGCCCTGATAAGGTACATACAATGTCTGGTCCTTGCTAGTCGCCACAAGCTAGCTTTCCTACTAGCTTATATTAAAATTAAAAGATTTAAGGATTGCTGGCAACAATCCCTAAAACACAACCAAATGTTACATTGGAATGTGAAAACAAAAATTTTTATTTTTTAGTATTTTTTTTAAGTTGGATAAATAGCAAATTACTGGAAGATTAACCCCTGGTCCTTTCATGCATAATTTTAAAAAGCTGAATCATTTTTCACATTATATGTTTTAAAGGGAAGAACTATGAAGAAGGGGTTTTCAAAAGCCCTTGTAATGTCGAGTGCTTCCTATGACTATTAGCAAATTAAATTAGGTTGTTCTGGTTCGATGATGGGCTGTCGCTGTACGAAAACAAACTTCGTTAAGGCTGTACTCTCAGCTAACACCGCAGCGTGTCCCTACTGTACAAGGATACTTTCATCCAGACGGAACAATGAAATGTTTACTGGCTGACACACAGCAGGGGCGATTCCAACAGTACTGGGCGGGACACCGGCTCCTGGTGCAGTTCTTGTCTCTTCACTGAGCGAGTTTTGTTAGGTCTTCTTCATCCGCTGTTCTAGTTCATGCTGGTGTTTAATAAGGCGTTCTATTTCTGTTCCAAGTGTTTGTAAATTTTCCTTTAAGCATATGAAAAAAGAGCAAAAAGAGAACGGACTACTAAATACAATAAGTAAAAAAAGATGCCACTTGAAACACTTTTGCCTAAATTTTGAAGCTGAGTGATGATTAGTCTTAAATGTCATGTGAACTAAACTAGGCATACTGTTATTTTCAGTAAACTATTCCTACATATTTCAGACTAATAGTTTTTTTTACTAAAGCTACAGCAAATGTGATTGCATAAAATTATTACTAACTTTTAAAAATTATTCTTAAAATCTATTACTAACTATCAAGGCCCAAATATAGCACAAATAGAACAGGTCAGATAATAGCTGCAAACAATAGAAAGAAGCTAGAAAACACATTAAATGTGTTTTCTGAAAAAACGTAAATACCTCCATCTTAAAAAATCTTAGTAATCAACTTTATTATAGTACATCTCGAAGGCCACCCGCTGCAAAGTAAACAGCTCCCATTAGTGTCTGTCCAACAGCTAAACCGGCCCATCACCAGAAGGGTGGATAAAAAAGCCACAGCACAGAAACATGTGGGATATTGCTGGGCCACAAAAAAGAATGAGGTCTTACCATTTGCGACAACATGGAGGGACCTAGAGGGCATTATGCTAAGTGAAATAAGTCAGTCAGAGAAAGATCAATACCATATGATTTCATTTATATGTAGAATCTAAAGAACAAAATAAATGAACTAACAAAACTGAAACAGACTCATAGACACACAAAATAGACTGATGGTCGCAAGTGGGGAGGTGATGGCTGCCAGTGGTTGGGAGACCAGGTTAAAACAGGTGAAGGGATTAAGAAGCACAAATTGGTAGTTACAAATACTCATGGGGATGTAAAGTACAGCGTAGGGAATACAGTCGATAATATTGAATAACTCTGTACAGTGCCAGGTGGGTGCTGGGAATATCAGGAGAAATTCCTAGTAGAGTATATGACTGTCTAACCACTATGCTGTACATCTGGAATTGGGTTGGCCGAAAAGCCCATTTAGTTTTTTCCATAAAACAAGACATTATTTTTCACTTTCACCAGTAACTTTATTGAACACTGAGTGTGTAGGCTATCTCCCACGGGGTATAACGTTGTCCTCCATCAATGTCTCGATTTGATCTCTATCAAATTCAGCTGGTCCGCCTGACCATGGAGCATCATCCAGCAAGAAATCTCCAGCGTGGAACTTTACAAACCACTTTTGACACATTTGAGCAGTCACGGCACCCTCTCCATACACTGCATAAAGCTTTTTTGTGTGTTTCAATTATGTTTTTATCTTTCTTGAAATAATAAAGCAAAATATGCCAAAAATATTGCTTATTTCCTTCCACCTTCAATATTAAAATGGCTACACAGAAATTCACCAATTCTGGTGTTTTTTAAATGCATGCTGATATCACAGCTGTCACAATCTAATCTAACAAAATTGTTTTGAATGAAGTTAAGAGCAACTTAGCACTACTACAGATATCTTACAGAAAAAAAACCAAACTTTTTGGCCAACCCAATAATACAAAATAATCCTCAATGTAAACTATAATTTAAAAAATATAGCTAGCTAATTTTTTACTATTCTTTCATTGCTAGCTTGAAAAGTTGTATTTTTCAGAAAAAAATTTTATACCTAAGTAAAAAGGTTATCTTGCATTACAGAAACAGTCCACCCACGTGCTGGATCACACTGTGAAAGAGGCGCCATTTTGCCATGTTTGCTGGCAGGTTAGTGAATGAGAAATACAAATACCTTCAAAGTGATATTTTTTAGTAATGTATCCTCCAAAACAGCCTGTAATTTTCGGTTGATCTCCAAAGAGAGCTCCAGCGTTAACCCACTGTCAGCTGGATGGGACGTATATAAAGATGCCATGATGCCGCCCCGTCTACTTAAATGGACTTTGTTAAAATCAGAGGCCTCCGAAGAAAGGGTGCCTGCTTCTTCCCGTAAAATGTAACTCTGAATTATTCTGCAAAATAAACAGCACTATCAGTTATGTACCTGCAGAATTAAAAATGCTGGAACTTGTAAGAATCAATTAATCATAAGCATAGAGGTAATTAGCATAAATACCGATTAGGTTAATAACAAGTATATTAGAAAATAAATAAATTTTCCTTATTCAGATGGTTTTCTAAAGATATCTAAACACTTCTTTTCTATTTTTATTACATTGATAAAAATATCTGAGCAGTTTTTTGCTCCCATTTCAGTTAACATTTTCAATTTTCATGTTATTAAACTTGAAACTTTTTCTTTTAAAAATCATGGGCAATCTTTTCCCCAAGTCTAAAATTATTTCAAAATAAAAATGAAAACGTCATGAGGAAAGACTGCACTACCAAAAACCCTTACACGAATCTGGTGCTTGTGAGAGGAATTTGGCACACAGCACTGGTTCTGGAGAGTCGGTGTCAGAGTTGAATGTGGTTCTCCACTCTTGGACTGCCACTTACAGATAAGTGGTGATTCTGGAACATTTAGTAATTTGACCTGAGCCCCGTTAACTTTCCTGCCAAGTCAGAGAACTAACTCATCCTCTCCCTGAGTAGACGTCAGAAATCAATGATGTGTTATTAAGCCAACAGGCACTGGGCCTGTACTTAGTAGGTGCCCAAGAAATTACCCCACCTTGTTCTACCCAAAAGGAGAGACAACCCACAACACTATGTATCTCTTACAACTGCAGTCCTAAAAACAAAAACCTAAGTAGGGAGCTATCTTCTTAAGTCCAAAGTTATTTTGATATCTTAAAACAATGCAAGTTGATCAGCCACCACCATGAAGAACACAGTAACCACCTGGGCCAGAAGTTCCATGACCGGCGGACTGCTTCGGGGGAAACAAGGTCTCTGACACCCTTCAGGCTGGGAAGGCTACAGTACCTCAGACAGAAATCTGGGGAAAGCCAGCCAGAATGTGTAAGACCACGCCAGATGTCACCTTTGTGTTTGGATTCAGAACCCATCCTGGCGGTGGCAGGAATGGTGACGTGGCATGATTCACAGTTCCTTGGATTATGTGAAAAATGAACCCAAGCACAGACTTGCAAGACACGGCCTATACGAGAAGGAGCCCGAGGGAGGAGGGCAAGAACAGAATGAAGAGACTCAGGGACTACAAAGGCCAACGCTGGTGCGGCAAAACGGCTGGGGGTTGGACAGCAGAAGAGACGGAGCCTTCGGTGACTTCCTGTCGCGACTGCGCAGGTTCTTCCCGAGAGGATTAATAAACTAACAACTTTCAAAGAAATTCATGTCCACCGAACTCTATTATCACCTTAAAGGAAATATCTGTGTTTTTTTCATCTTCCTATTCCTAAACCTAGAACATAGTAAGTGATCAACAAAAGACTGGCAACTAAATGACTAGAGATAAGAATTATCTTTTGAAAGATGGAATCTTGATATGATTAATTCGAAAACAGTAACTATACCATCTGAATAATTCTGAACATAGGTTGCATTGCCATAGTAATACATACTTTGTTTTTTTCCTAATTTCCTCCACCAACTGTTTGATGTGATCCTCCATAAATTCTATCTTTTCATGTTTCCGGGCATGCGCTTTCTGAAGCCTTACTATCCTCTCAATCAACATGGCTTTGTCTACTTCTGGGAAGTTATCCACGGCTCCTGATGACCCGGTGTTTTCTGGAGATCGATCTTCTGCACTGCTTCGAGCATTAATGGACCCTAATGACAAAAAAAAAAGTTTAGATACTGTACCTGGTCTAGTTATCACTAATCTCATATTATTTCCTCTAGTAAGACTTTCAAATACTACTTGTGTTCAAACACAAGTAATACCTGGCCTGAGTTCCTATTTCTGAGTATAATGATAATAGCGCTACAAAAGAACCTACTATGTCCTTCAGGAACAGGAAGAAGTGTCAACAGAGAAAAAGAAACTCAAGAAAAAGAAATAAGTCTGCAGTAAGACTAAAATTAAGCCAAGAAAAAGAGACAAACTGACACAGAGAGAGTGTAGAATACAGCCAAGTGGGTTAAGCTCAGGAGCCCAGATCTCCCTAGGTTCAAATGCCACTTTCTAGCTGCAAGACTTTGGACAAGTTATTTAACTTTCTGTGCCTTTAAGATTCTTCATCTAAAAATGAGAATAGCATTATTTACCTCGCAGGATTATTATCCTCATTTAAATGAGTTAATACACGTGAAATACTTACAACCATGCATACAATAAGCTCTAAGTGAATGTTAGTTATTATTTTTATCAACATCAGTTGAAAAGAATGTTTGACCTTTTTTACCCTATAAACATATGGCTTTTGCTCACCCCATTCTGTAGATTTGAGACAAGTTATGTATCTTATCCAACATCAGGAATTACTAAATGGCAGAGCTCAGATCTAAACACCTGTGTATCATTTCAAAGAGCACGATCCCATGTTCCCTCTACCAAACAACTCCCTTAGCACGCAGCTCCGGGGAGCCGTGCCGCGCAGAGGCAGCAAGCGCTCCAGGACCTGACGCTCACTTGGTGCGGACTTTGGGCAAGTCATGGCAACACCCTCTAAAGTGGGAATTACAACAGCTCACATGACTTCTGCAGAGCAAATGATAGGTTCCAAGCATTCTGGCATTGCAAAATTGATAGATACACTAATATTTTGCTATTTTCAAAATATTATCAATCATAATTTCATAAACTCTATTCATTTCTGCTTTAGACTATAGGACTATTTACTATGAGAAAAGCTAACAGATTTAAAAATACGTATGTGTAGATACATTAAAAAATCTGATTATAATGATAGCCATTTCATTAGTAATCAGGTGTTAAAAGTAACATAAAAGTAAAAGAAAAAGAGAGAACCATACATAACTACAGCAAATCTCTCTGTATGGATGGACACAAAATCTGAATTTAAAAATGGAAGAGGAAATTGTTATACAGAATAGAGAAAACATAGGTAAGAAAAAAGGAGGTAGGGAAACAGATGATATAAAACCACTTGACATACGCCTGAGATTAATATACTGAATGTTAACTATACTTAAACTAAAAACAGCTTTAAATTCCAGAACGAAAAAAGAAGAAGAACTACATGACAAATGGACAAATTTGAAACCCTGGGTAATGACTAGAACTTAAACATTTAACTGGCAATATTTTTTATACTATGTACAACTGCCACTTTTAGAATTGAAAATGAAAAACATTTCAATACCCTTCAAAACAAACAAATGCTATTTCTTTTTTAATCAATGACAAAATAACTAAAACCACTCATTTTGTTTTTACCTGATGAACTGGAGCGACTCCCCATGCTGCTCACTTCCTTATCGTAGCTTCCATTCTCCATCTGATCTAATTTTCTTCGTGCTAGAGAAAAAGGAAACGGATGACTTGCGAAAACTGTCATCACCATTTGTCCCCACGACCTCTGATTTTACTTGCTGAAATCACTTAGGCAAAAATGGCAGAAATAGCAGGAGAAATGTCTTGAATACACAGTTTAAACAAGAGGGCTGCAGGGGTCATTCACGTCAAATGACATCTAGGGATGTACAGGTCAAATACCAAATGTATAGAAACAACATTGGGATAACAACGACACTGGCCAGCATCACTCAGACATGCTGGGCGGAACTTCCGGAGTCCTGGGAGAGGTAGGAGTACTAGAAATTTCCCCCAAATTTCCCTTCAATTATATCTATAAAAACAAACTGAATGCTTATGGCAAATATCTGCACATACTAAGTAAGTGCTAAGTCTCTTTAATCACTATGTTTTATCACATTTTGACACAAACAAAGCAGAGGGAAATCAAGAACAGGAAGTCGGAATACATATTATTCATCATTGTATCCAAGCACATAGCACAGACTCACAAAAATTGTATGACTTTTTAAATGAAAGAAACCCGGGCTCCAGTTCCAGCTGTTCATCACTGTGTTTGTTAATCTATAACCTCTCTGGGTCTGTTTCCTACGTGAGGAAAGGTTCAGTCTCAATGATCCCCAAGTTCCAGGTGTCCCAGGTGGGGCACAGGCAGCACAGATGCCGCACAAAACTATTCATAGACACTCGCAGGGAGAAAATATCAGAACTTCTATTTATACTTAATGGGATCTTTTAAAATTTCTATTTTTCTTATGTTTTCTAAAATATATAGAATAATACATGTTTAAAATTTACACACATGTATATGGAGAAAAATGCTTAAATAATTTTTACTAATAGTAGTGTCTGATCAAAACATTGATATGCTACTGCCCTAAAGTGCTTTTCCAACTCTTCCACTTTGCAGCTCCATGAATGAAGGTCCCTTAGCACAGAAGATGCTACAGATTATTCATGTCACTGTAAGAGGTTCAGCAATTTGGTTTATGAACATTATTAATACATTAAAAAGAAGATAAGGCTCCAATCAATGTAGAATCCAATGTAAAAATATTTTTTCTATAGATCCTAATGATTAAAAGACACACACACACAAAACCATTCGAGGTCTAAGTGTGACGGAATCTCGTACCCTGCTGGAGTTGCTTGGTAAGATCCTTGACACTGGAGGCGTACTTCCGCCTCTGAGTTACCAACTCATCCTTCAGTTCTTCGACCTGGGTGCTCAGCGCTTCAGCCTCTGCTCGTCTACCAGTGAGTTCGGCTTGCAGAGTCTGGACTTCCTCTTTTCGCAGTTGTTCTTCTTTCAACAGTCTACTTTCCTAAATATTAAATTAAGATAAAATAAAAAACACCAATTTTAATAAATGACTTATATGTTTCTATTATTTCTCAGTTTAAAACATCAAAAATGCAAGGTCGTTAACAGGACATTCTGCTGTCATTCCCTCCTTACTAGGTTTTGTTTACTGAGCTCCTGGTAATTCTTCATGTAGCGAGGAGGGGGGCACATTAACATGTTTGCCATTCTATACACGTAAAACCACATATGCTACAGGTCTCTGCATTTCTGAACTAAAGTCTCAAATTATTTTTATAAGTAACTTGAAATCACTCTCATAGCTTAAAAGTATTATTTTTAAACTACAAAGATATAAAAATATAAAGTACTTTTAAAAAAATACATGGTAATTCCAGTTAAGAATGACAAAAAACCCTGATTTTCCTGTTTTCAAAAGTGAAGTATTTCTTCATAACCATTTTCAGAAAACATTTTACTATAAATTATATGAGCTGAAAGGAAAAACTGACACTTCCACGGCATTTGAAATGACAACAAAGTCAATGCCGGCAAAAAAGAGCTTAGACCAACAACCACTGGGTTCACACTGTTAGGGAAACCAGACTGCGCTTCTTGTCACGTCACTTTAAATGTTCAATGTGCAATCATACTCACCAAATTAACACTGGTCTGCTTCATTTGTTCACATTGGCTTTGTAACTGACTTTCACTACAGGCAAGTTTATCGAATTGTGACTGTAAAGAATTGGATTCAGACTGAAGTTGTGCATTCTTACTAGTGAGCTTTTCTGTAAACAGTAGTAGCTCAGATTCTCTTTTCCTACTGCCTTCGATGTCTTTTTGTAGGTCATTAATCAAAGAATTAAGACTGTCCACTTCTTCCTTCAAATTTTCAATTTCTTGTTTACCTCTAAAAAACAAAGTTTATATTTAAGAAAAATGAAACCATTAAAAAACATTAAATTAATGGTTTGGGAATTTTCACTGAAGGAAGTACTTTACAGAGATACTTTTATTAGTATACATAATTATTTGCGAATGACAAATACAACGCATGCTAGGAACTGAGAGCTGGGAATGTAAGTGAGCAAGACCGTGTGGGCCCTGCTTCCAGAGTCTTCTTCAAGCAGGGAAGCTGTCTGCGTGATGCTTGAACTGATACTTAAAGGAGGGAAGCAAACTTTCCCTGTGAAAGGCCCAGAAGTAAAGGCCTTGCGCTTCTGGGGCATATGGCCTTCACCGCAACTGTCCCATTCTGCCATTGTCGTGTGAAAGCAGACACAGACAATACACAAAGGGATGAACATTCCCCCAAAATGGAATATACCAACAGAGGCAGTGGGCTGGATTTGGCTTGCAGGCCACAGTGTGCTGACTTCTGACCTGAAGGGAAAGTAGGAATGAGCAGGAGAACCACAGCTGTCCCAGGCAGAGGAAGCAGTGTGCTGAAGCTGAGAAAGGAACAAGAGAAGGAGCTCTCGCTGGTCCGAACAAACGGATGTGCGACTCTGACGAAGAGAAGGACTGCACTGGATCCCTCGCACAGGACCTGGCACGCGGGAGAGCTGGAACACCGGAGTGGGAAAGGAGAAGGCGTGGAGGGGGAAGCACCAGACAGCCTCTAAAGACCTTTCAAGCCAAGTTGAGGCATCTTCAGGGGTGTCTTCACCCCTTAAGGCATCTTCAACTCTTCTTCCAGTGTGGGCCGGAGATGCCAAAAGGATGGACACCCCTGCACGACTAGGTGATCCTCGAGGCAATGGGAAATCGCTGAAATGTTTTGAGAAAATTTCCTTTTTAAAAAGTCTGTGCTAACCAGTGTGGGAAGTGCATTAAAGAGAAGTTCAGGGTTGGGGGGAAAGTGTAGAAACTGTGGCAGTTTTCCAGATGAGAACTGATAATGGCTTGGACAAAGGTAGCAGCCCCAGGAATATAAAAAGTGAACAGACTTGAAAGGCATTAGAGTCAGCACCAATAACACTTCTCAACTGCTTAGATATGTGAGAGGAAGGGGAGAAGGGCCCGGGTGTCCCCGGGTTCCTGGGTTGGAACACCACGTGGATGCTACTCGTCTCTCAACTCAGGAACATCAGAAAGCCACAGGGACAAACAGGAAAGATGGTCAGTTTTGGACATTAATTAAAGTTTGAGGTGCCTTTGATACTTCTTGTGTCTAGAGCTCAGCAAAATGGGCTGAAAATGATATGAAGGTCCTGCAAATACTGTAAGAATAGTAGGATCACCCAGAGTAATAAAATAAGGACAAAAGAGTTTTATGACATAATGAAAAGACTGCCAAGGAGATGAGGAAAAGAGTGGCCAGAAAGTGGGGAGGAAGACCAGGCGCACACGGACAAAATAAAGCCAGAGGCACATCAAGAAAAAATGGGTTCGGTGGTGTTAATACTGACAACTCAAGCAGAGCTTAGTCTGAGAAAGTGTCTACTGGATTTAAGAAGGCATTAGCAGTTTTTAGTGGAATACTGGGGTAGAAACCAGAAACCAGAATGAAATGGAGACGGTTAAAAGAAAAAAGAAGAAATAAAGGATGAGTAGAGACAATTTTCTAAAAGGGATGTGTGGGTTGGACGGAAAGGAGAAAGGTAGGGAAGGTCGGTGGACCAAGGTCCAGTGTCTGTAAGATGTAATAACACGTAAATGCAGAAAGAAAACAAAGTCAGTAGAAAGGGAGAGGTCAGAGATAAAGGATAAAGAAATAATCAACTAAGACCCTGAGAAGGCAAGAGAGCACAGGATCCACAGCTGGAGTAGAGAACCATTCGACTACAAGAGGAACAGAGAGAGGAATTTCTTCCATTAGCAGAAGGAAAAGAAAGAATGGTTGTAGAAGCAGGAAGGTTCATAGGACTGAGAGCAAGAGGTTCGTAGGACGAGTAGTGAGAACTGGCAACCGACAGCTCCCATTTTTTCCGTGAAGAGGTAATCTCCTGCAGCAAAAAGTAAGGTGAGAAGAAACACAAGAAGTGTGAAGAAAGCAATAAGGTTTGGTAGAGGTGCTAAGGAGATAGGGGAAAAGTTAAAGGCGTATTCATATTCCCAGTTGAGGTTGCCAACCATGAATTCATAGTGGCACCACTCTGGACGCCGTGAGATGCTTTAGTGACACCCAGCAGCCTGGACATCAGTAGGGTAGGAAAAGTACTTGGATTCAATCTGAGTCCATGCTCCGCCACAAAATACCATGAGTGGACTTTAGCTAGGGGTTTTACAAAAAGCCAAGGGATAATCTCAGGTCATGATCTCAAGCTCTATACACACAAAGCTACAGCTACAGATGTACATCTACTTTTTAGAGGAAAATGTTAAGTACTGTGCCTACATAACAGAATTCGAAAGGTAAAGAATGAATAAAAAACCCAAATCCACTGTCTTAGAAATTGCTACTGCCAATGTTAGGGAATATAAACTTTGATTTTTAGAAGCCATGATGGGAACTTCAAAGACAATCCAAAAAGGTTCAAATAAAGAAAGAAATTTTAAAAATTTAAGCCAGTACAATTATAAAATTATTCTTGGTTAATGCAGTAACTGCACTTGGAGACAGAAACCTGAGGTGGAAGTTAAAAGCCTGCCGATCGGCACAAACGGAAGTTGCTCGGTTTATACCTCTGATGCTGCTCCTGTAACTGATCCGCAATTTTCACTTTATCCAGTAAGTTCTGAATTTCAGCTTTTTGGCGATTAATAATTTCCTTATATTTTGACAATTCATCTTCTGTTCTCAATCGTTCATCTTCTAGACATTTCACCTATCATAAATCATAACCAAGTTAAACTATAGACAATATTTTCTCATTCCTCATTAACTGTTTCGGGTAGTGATCATATAGGGTCCGGCAGAAGAAAACCTCGCCCGAGTGTGGTTGGGAGGGGACGTGAACGTCTTGCACGAGACAGACAGCAATCTGAACATTCCACCTAAAATGTCATACTGTGTGTTTGAGAACGATATTGTTATGTTACAGGATTACATGCTTGTGATTTTGTAATAAAAAGGGGTATATTTGTGCTGGACCCCGTACACTGGAAGTCCGAGCTGCACTCTGAAGCAGTGTTAACGGTGAGGAAGGTGAAGAAAACACAGCAGGAAGTAAGCAGCCCTGGACTCCAGTCTCAGATCTCCCCTGATTTAGTCTCGGGACTCTTACTCTGTCGTTTTACTTCAGCTGAATCTCCATTTCTTCACCTGAAAAGAGGCTATACCTTCCCTACCTCGAAGAACTGGCGTGGAAAACAAATACAAATGTATGTGGCTGTATTCTGCTTGTTTATTTGGTTGATTAGGTTCCACTTATGGGTGAGATCATATGGTATTTCTTTCACCACCTGGCTTACTTCACTTAGCACGATACTCTCTGTAGGGGCTCATTCTTTCTTTCTGTTGCATAGAATTCCACGGTGTAAATGTACCAGTTTTTTGATCCACTCATTTAATGATGGGCACCCATGCTGCCTCAAGTGCTTGGCTATTGTCAATTGTGCTGCTATGAACATTTGGGTGAGTAGGTTCTTCTGAATTGGTGTCTCAGGATCCTTAGGGTATGATCCCGGCAGTGGTATTGCCAGGTAAAAACAAAGAAGCAAGCAAAATACAACCAGGGACAGTGAAATAAAGAACAAACTGATAGTAACCAGAGGGGAGGGGGAAGAGGGAACATGAGGGGAATAGGGGAAGGGCCATCAAGGAACTTATATAAAGGACACACGGACAAAGCCAAAGGGGGTAGGTTCGGGGGTAGGAGGCAGGAATGGAGGGTGGGGGGGGCATGATGGGGTGAAAATGGAGACAAGTATATTTGAACAACAATAATAAAAAATAAAAAATAAAAAGAAGTGTATGTGGAAAGACTTTGAAAATTATTAAGTGGTGACTTAAAAGTAGTTGAAAGCCTGTTTCTAAATAAATAAATGATACGAAATGATATTGTTTCACGGTCACGTTAAAAGGGATATTAGTTTTGCAATATAGACAATAAACACTGGAAGGGATTTAATACACTGGTAGACATTAAGACTGTATACAAGACCATTAAGTACACTCAGGAGAAGTGTAAGGAAATTCCACCTGTTGCTTTCTCATACTCACAGTTCTCAAGTACAACTTTCTTTCCAATTAATTTGCTGATAACACTGCCTTTGGGTGAGAGGCCCAACAGACACAGCACGTGTGTTACAAAACAGGAATGTCTGCCAAACACTTCGAAGGAGTTGAAGTGGAAGACCTTTCCATTTCAATAAGAAAGTCAGTTTTGTTGCTAGGAAATTGATATTCCACTCATGTAAGTTCTTTTCTTTTGGAAAATTTCTATTTTTATTTATTTACCTTTTCAAGCCACACCTGAGGATATGTTTACTGATTTTAGAGAGAGAAACATGGATGTGAGAGAGAAACACTGATTGGTTATGTTCTGTACGCGCCCCAACCGGGGCTGAACCCACCACCTAGGTACGCATGTGTCCTGCCTGGGACTGAGCCTGCAACCTTTTGGTGTATGAGACGAAGCTCCAACCAACCGAGCGACACAGCCAGGACTTATTCTGGAAATTTTCTAAATAAATACCCTTTCCTCAATATTTTAAAAGTCAGGAGTCCAAAATTAAAACATTTACCCATCTTTGAGTCACGACTAAAGATTCGGTTACCTTTGTTCTCAGGGTCCGTAGCTCATCCATGCCCTCCTTAAATGTCCTCTTCAGGTCTTCCAGTTCCTTTATTTTGGCGTGATGCATCTTTTAGAAAGTTTAAAAGAAAACACAAATCACTATGCGGTAAGCTAAACGAGATCCCACTCCTCCCAAAAGGCTTTAAAAGCAGATGACAGTTAAGTTCTCGTTATTTCTCTCCTCTGCATTTATTACACACTGTAGGGCAAACCAGGGACAAAACGACTCACTTCGAGCTGGTCAGATTTTTCCTGCATTTGTTTTTCAAGCTCTCCTTTTGTGACTCTAAGCTTGGCATCAAGCTCATTTGATTTAATTTCTTCTGACTCCTAATGGAAAAGAAATGAACAAGTATCACTTAATTTTTAAAGTTTTATACTTTGAAAAGTGAAGGCAGCTGTGGCAATTAACTATACTAATTAAGAAATACATAGCTTACATATCTAAAAACAATGACTGCCTTGAAAGATTTTAAATGTCAATTTTGCAAGACAAGCTATGTAACATAATACAGAGTGGTTTTATTTTTAACTTATACATTTATATGTCATGTATTCTTCATTCTTCTAATACTTTCTAGTGTTTTTATTTGGTTAAAAACTTCTCTGTTGAGATTTCTATATAAGCTGCTAATACTTACACATAGGAAATAACCTGTATTTTATGTAACTGTCCTACCAAATATATTCTACACTTTGAATGTTGCAAATACACAAATTTAATGAAACAAGAGTGTTGATTTGGCATAATGTGTTACTAATCTATTTGAAAAGTTAAACATACCTGGTATGTTTTTATCATATCCTGACAATTTTTTCGAATCTGATCTGCTTCTTCCTTTGCTTGGGTTAACTTTGTTGTTGTCTCTTTGAGTTTATCTTTGGTTTCCTGCATGGGTAAAAGACAGTGACAAACTTGGGCACAACGATGTGATGAATGGTAAGAACAATGACCAGAGTGGGGCAAGTTCTTGTCTTAGCACTGCCACTGAGGGGCTGAAGAACTAAAAGCCACCAGATAAAGTTAAATTTGATTGGGTTTCAGCAAATCACTAGAATTTCCTAAGTAACAAGAAGAGCAAATATTAACCAGTTCTTTGCACATATACATAAAAGAAAATTACTTGGTTTATGGCTATAGTATCTATTCAAAACTGTTTTTACAGATTCATACTGCAATTTGGTTTCTATTCCTAATCACTCTCTTAAAATGGCAATTCTGAAGGTTACCCTCTCATCAAATTCAATTACTTTCTTTTTGCTGTTTCTTATTGCTGACCTTGCTCCAGTTCTGACCACTCCTGACTCTCTGAATATCCTCCTCTGCTTCCACTACGAGACTGTTTTGCTCCTCTGCCTCCCTCGGCTCCTTGACTGGCTTCCCACTTCCTGTGGCAATTTTCCAAGCACATCCCTGCCTTGGGCTCTTTCTCCAAAATCCTTCAGGGTACCATCTAGCCCCATGGTTTTGGCTATCATGTGACTTTCAAATGAGAATCATCTCCTCCTAGTAGCTATCCTTAGGAAAGGGACAGATGCTGTTATTCTGCCTTCCCATTGGTACAGTCCAGGACTTACACTGGACTTACATGTTTTCCCCACTGAGGACAGAGCGTCTGGGCAATGCCTAGCTCAGAACTTGCCACATGTTAACGGCTAAAGCAGTATTTGATGAATAGGAAGGGAATACTTAATATACAAATCTTCTGCTTTAGTTAGGGTGGTCTTCCCAAATACCAGACAGTCATTTCCCTTTCTCCTTAATGTTCCTCCAGTCGGATGCCTTTCTCTTCATCTCCTGAACCATCTAAACTGCATCTATCGTTCACTGCTTTTCATGAGTCATTTTGTTTTTGTATAAATCTATCATACAATGAAGTACTTAGTTATATACTCTCAGCGCTGGCCTTTCAATAATAATTTGACATTAAAACTCAGTATTGCTTTTAAAATATAAACATTTGGAGACTTTTTCAAATATTGTTTTCAAAATTTTTTAAATGTATTGATTTGAGAGAGAAAGGAAGGAAGGAAGAAAGAAAAACACTCATCCGCTGTCCTGCTTCGTCATGAACTCGCTGGCCGTGCCCTGTGTGTGCCCAGCCCAGGACCCAGCCCATGACCCAGCCCATGACCCAGCCACACTGCGATGCTGTTCCAACCAACGGAGCCACCATGTCAAGACTTGTTTTATCTTTTTTTTTTTTAATATTAGACTATCACTTCAACAATGGGACAGAAAGGAAGGAACTTTATCTCCCCCCCCCCCCAAATTCCATATAATCGAGAACTAAAACAGAGTCTGGCACACAGGAGGTACCCACTTCATTCACTCAAAAAGTAGTGATTGAGTGCCTGGCTGGTGTAGCTCAGTGGATTGAGCGCGGGCCTGCGAACCACACGATCGCAGTTCGATTCCCAGTCAGGGCACATGTCTGGGTTGCAGGCCGGTTCCCCGCAGACCAGTTCCCAGCAGGGGATGCACGAAAGGCAACCATACATTGATGTTTCTCTCCCTCTCTCCTCCCCTTCCCCTCTAAAGATAAATAAATAAAATCTTAAAAAAAAAAAAGTAGTGATTGAGAGATTCCTCTACACCTAATAAATGCTTCCCAAATAAATAACTGAGTAAAAGCGAGAATCACATTATGTGGGTTTTGGTTACAGTACTAACTGCGTTTCACCCCCAGTCATTCACTCTGTGTCCACTGAGCTCCTGCCATGTCCCAAGCAGCAGGCAGCAGCCTGTATGATAACTTTTCAATAAAATTTTACTCATTAAGCACAATACCAATAGAATTATACTCATAATAAACAGATAAGTTATTCTTTATATATTTGTTAGTGTATTTAAATAAAAAATTGTATTTCTTGATTATAAGAATCTTAGCATTAGTAACATTTTTAAAATTTCCACAGTATACTTTCAATTTGGATAACTTACAGATTCTCCTCTTTCCCTCATATTTCCGACAACAGTTAATAGAGTGTAAAATACCAAAAAATGCTTAAAGATAAAAGTCATTTTGGGGGTTGTAAACAATGAATAATAAAATTTAACATGCTATCCAATTTAATGTGTAAATCATTCAAGGAAACAGCTTTTCACAATCAGCAAATATGCAATCCCAAGCTATCCTACACGGGTCACTACATTACTGTGCTTCATTAACTATTACTGCATTTGCTTCTGAAACTGATTCTAATAATTTTTACACTGCACTACAGTACTCACCTTGTGTGAATCCATTTCCACTTTTAATTTGTTTTGTGCCCATTTTACTTTAATGATATGAGAATTGATGTCTTCCTTTAATTTGTCTATTTCTCTGATGAGTCTAGTAGTTTCAGCTTCCTAAAATAACAGCACTCAGTCATATTTCTCATTTAACAATCAACCAATTATTTGTGTATCCTTTATATCTCCTCAAAATAATACAATAGCACTACATATACTTTAGGAGCTGGCACATTATGGCCTTATAACCCATAAAACTGATTTAAAGTACAAATCTTAAGATGGCAATAAAATCCGAAATCCTGTTAACAGACATAAATTAACATACTATATTTCAACAAACTAGACATGTTGCAAATACAAGCACCTTTATTCTTCTCAACTAGCTGGCCTTAAGATAAAATACAAATTAAATTGATTTTGCCAGAATTCCTGAGAAAAATGACAACATTTCTGAACTAAAAGTCAATGAATAAAAAATAACATTCATCACCAAGAAATGATCATCTACTGGAAATGAGACCACGCCTTGAGGTAGCTTTTTAACACAAGGGCTCTAAATTGCCCAGTAATTAAACCTTGGAAAGCATGTAAGAACGTGTTTTATTTTACAAGAAAAATATAAATTCCATTTTTATAATAAGTGTTACATTAGGATTCTGGTCAAATTATACTTACTAAACCAAAATATATACTATGCATATATCTTGCCAAAATAAAATCTTCCTTTCAGGCACAAAACTCATTTCCTCAAAATAGATTTAATAAAAAAAATTTTTTTAAAGATGAAAAGTTATCTAATAAACAACATGTCCATTTCTCATCTTTTCCCAGTAACATTCTCTGCAGACAGGTAACAAGATATCAGAACTACTTTAGCATTCACATACTTAGAACGTGGAGTAAACAACCTCATGTTTCATAGTGGTTCAATGGCAGTAAGTTATGATTATCTGACTAAGTAAGAAAAAGCAAACAATCAATTTCAAATGAGATGAAAGAGCACAAGTTATACCTTTGTTTCGTACAGCTGGTGCAGCCGTCCTTTCTCCTGAGAAAGCTGCTTAATTTTATTAGTGTTTCTCTCCGATTCTTTGTTTGCATCTCTAAGCTTCCTCTCAAGTACCTCTTTTTCCTTTCGAAGGTCTAAAGATTCTTTCTCACCTCTTACATACTTCATTACCATTGCTTCTTTTTCCTGGCGAGCCTCTTCGCATTTCTTATTGGCCTTTGAAAAAAACATCTAGCATTAATAAAAAATGTTTTTCAAATAAAAATAACTGAAAAAGTATATTTTTCTATAATATTATGAATGTATACTTTGGTTTTTGAACAACATTCCCAGGACCTGTGTCATGAAATTTTAAAAAGAAAAAATATAAAATTGTAGATAAACAATACAATAAACAAATTAATATCACCCTGATTGGTGTGGCTCAGATGGCTGGGTGTCATCCCACAAGGTGAAAGGCCACAGGTTCGATACCTGATCAGGGCACATGCCTAGGTTGCAGGTTTGGTCCCTGGTTGGTCAAGGTATGAATGATGGGGAGGAAGTATTAATAGTTGTAAAACAAAGAGGCTGTAAAGATTAGATTCTGAAAGGAAAAAAAGAATTATCTTGTCATGCTAATTATTTGAGATTTTTCCCTACAGGCAATGGGAAGCCAAAGAAAGATTTTTAAACCTGAACCTTTTAGTAAATGTGTGTTTCAGTAAGAAAAAGGGTGGCCCCATGGAAACGGCACTGACGTTGGAAGAAGCAGGAAAAGGACCATCACACCAGATGAGATAAACAGATGAGGTTCCTGACTGCAGTCTGGCATGTGCACCAAACGCCTCATGATTCAGAGACTCGTTCGTGGATCAGCTTCAAGGGAACAACCTGGGGTGCTGAAGTTCACGTTTCTAGGCCCCACCCCAAGTAATGGCAGCACCCAGTTCACAGGATTGTTGAGAGGGTTGTGTCAGTCCAATATGGCACGGATAAAGGAAGAGGAGCCAGTAAAAGTTTTGGATTTAACCAGTTTAGGATGTTTATCATTTCCTTCAATGAAGATAAAGCATGAGGACGGTAACAGGATTCAACAGGCAGCTGAAATTATGAGGTATATTAAGTTGGGGAAAAAACGGTTACAAAAAAGGATGTGATTATGTTACACTCAAGCAGGGGGAAAGTGTGCGGATATGTGCAATGTACCTGGCCTGTCCAGAAAGTATCCAGCCCCAACCGATGAAGGAGAGAGACATTTACTGAAGGAGATAGAAGACACAAGAAACATTGTGAATAGAACAATGATGCTTCAGGCCCCTTCCAAGCAGGCACCTTGAGACCTCACACAGTTCTCCCAGTCACCACCAGCTGCCCTGTCGTATTTTCCTGAATCTCACTGACACTCTGAAATCTCTTCTCCTTCAAAGGTGAAAAAAATCACAGGGCACCAAATGTGGGCTGTAATGGGGCTGAGTCACCTTTGAGATGTTCTGCCAAAAAACTCTGCATGAGACATGATGCACAAGCAGGCACATTGTCATGATGAAGCTGATGATCACCAGTAGCTCATAGCTGTGGCCTTCTGAATCATCCCAATAGTTTTCACGAAGGAATGTTACAGCTTAACGCAAAATCTGGTGCAGAATTGTTGCTCTACTCAGTCGTTTTGAATGCCACAGCCACACAGTATACATACTCGCTCAGTGGTGTCTACCCACCCCACTAATTAGTACAGTGAAGTCGTCAGGGTTCACCCATGCACATCCCAGTCCACTCTCCTTGGCTGCCAGGTTACACCAACGTCATACAAACCATTCTCACTATGTTAATAATGGCTGGACTTTTTCTGGACAGACCTTGTATATGCGTATATGACAATACACATAACGAAAACATCCATTATTAGTTATGGAACAAGGAATGGAATGCAAAGGCATTGGGAGCAGGAAGAGAGAAGTACAGATGAAGGGCAACTTTCACTTTTTGTCCTACACATTTCCTTATTTTTTTTGTAGGTAGCATGTTTTTTTATGTATTGCTTTAGCATTTAAAAAAGTTAATTTTTATGAAAATAAAATTACCCATTCCTAACACACGACTGATGTCCAAAATCATCTAACAAGATTAGTTTACTTTAATAAACAAAAAAGAATCATTAGAAAGTGAGTAATGATAATGAATTGAAAAATACCTGTTCCATCCGATGGGCCATCTCCTTGTGGAACTGCTGAACTACATTTTTAGAAGCTATGTCTTGAGCTATTAATTTATCTTTGGAAGCTTTAAGTTCTTTATTAAGTTCTTCTATTCTTGATTCTAACTGTAAAGAAAATTATTTCCAGATTATTTTTGTAGCTATATCAAACAGACTACCAATACCTCAAATAAACATAAACAATGTAAATAAGCACAAAGAATGCTTATACTTCAAAAAGTAAATGTTAGCAATGTTGCTACATCTCATTAGAATTACGACGGTATAAAGTAGCGCAGATTCTGGTAAGATGGATGGTAAGCTCTAGAGTAATTTCTATGGAAACAACTCAACAATTCAGTGGCGTTTCCTACTCAACACAAAGAAAGCAGTAATGAATAAATCGGGCCACAAAAACAACATGAAACATAATAAAAAAACAAGATCCAAAATATGCTGTCTACAAGAGATGCTTGAGATCTGAAGATATAAATAGACTGAAAGTAAAAGTGTGGGAAAAGATATATCATGACAACAGCAATCACAAGAAAGTAAGAGTGGCTACACTAACATCAGACTAAAAATAGGCTAAAATAAAAAATTTTACTAGAAATGAAGGAAATTTTGTAACAATAAAAGGGTCAATACAGCAGAAAGATACTACGAATACAGGTGCACTGAGTTACACAGCATGAAAATACACAAAGCAAAAGTTGACAAAAATGGAAAAGGAGACAGACAATTCAATGGCCGAAGAAGAAAATACCTCACTCTCAGTAACCCAGACAAAAGGGGGACTTGAACAAAAGGACAAAGTAACTAGATCGAACGTATCTGCACAACATTCCCCCAGCAACAGCAAAACATACATTCCCATCAAGTGCACCTGGAATATTCTCCCCGATGAAACATATGCCAGGTCATAAAACAAATCAATTCATTTAAAATATTGAAATTATACAAAGTATCTTCTCCAACCATAATGGAATGAAATTAGAACTCAGCAACAGAAAAGAAATTTGAAAAATTTACAAATAGTAAAAAATAAAAAACACCTAAATAACCAATGGGAGAAATCACATAGGCTGTATCTAAAGCAGTCCTTTGAGGGAAATTTATACCTGCAAGTACCAATTAGAAAAAGCAAAAAATAACGCAAATTAGTGACTTTAAACTTCCATCTTAAAACACTGGAAAAAGAAGAGGAAACCTAAACCCAACAAAAGGAAGAAAATAATGAAATTAGAGAAGGAATTAATAAAACATAAAACAGAGAAAAATTTTAAAAATGGTTCTTTGAAAAGATTAACAAAATTGACAAACCATTAGCTAGACTGATCAATAGAAATGAAAGAGAGACACACTGACCTTGAGAAATAAAGAGAATTATTAACAAATACTGAGAACGATTTAACTTAAATGAAACAATTTCCAGTAAAACTGGGTCAAGGAGAAACAAAAAATCTAAATAAATCTGCAAGACACTGAATTAGTCATCAAAAATAAAAACTACACACAAAGAAAAATTCAGGCCCAAGTGACTACAGGTAAACTGTATCAAACATTTAATGAACTGATGCCAATTTTTCACAAACTCTTCCCCCTCAAAAGAAGGAGCACTTTCCGACTCATTCTATGAGGTCAGTACTACCCAGACACCAAAGCCAGACAAAGACATCACAAGAAAAGAAACCTATAAGACCAATAGGTCTTATAAATATAGATTAAAAAATTATCAACAAAACACTAACAAACCAATCCAGCAATATATAAAAAGAATCATTCACCATGACCAAAATGGATTTACTCCAGTAAGCCTAGGCTGGTTTAACCTCCAAAAGTCACTTAATGTAATACAACATATCAATAGAACAAAAATCACATGATCATGTCAACAGATGCAAAAAAGCATCTGATAAAATGCAACATTGTTTCAAATAAAAACTCAACAAACAACTGATACACAGCACCTGTAAGAAATCCACAGCTAACATTGTAGTTAACGGTGAGAGACTGGACGCTTTCTCTCTAAGAACAGGGTAAGAGGATATCCACACTTGCCACTTCTACTCCACACTTTGCTGCAGGGTCCAGCCAGAGCACTGGGGCAGGAAATGGAATAAAGAACACCTAAATTAGAAAGGACCAAGTAGAGCTCTCTATTTGCACATGGTATGATCTTATGCTTAGAAAATGTCAAATTCACAAAAATACTTTTAAAATGAGTTCAGCAAAGTTACCAAATATAATTTAAAAAATTAATTGTTTCTATACACTTAAAATTAACAATCTGAAATTGAAATTAAGGGAGTAATTCCATTTACAATAGCATTGTAAATAATAAATTACCTAGGAATAAACTTAACAAAAGAAGTGTAAAATGTACAGTATGAAAACTACAAAACACTGTTGAAAGGAATGAAGATCTAAATAGATGGAAAGGCATCCCATATTTATGAACTGGAAGACTTGCTATTTTTAAGATGGCAAAAACTCTCCAAATGAGTCTACCAATTCAGTGCAAACTCTTAACAAAAACCCAGATGGCTTCACTGAAGAATGACAAACTGACAGTAAAATTTGCATGGAAATACCAGGAACTGATAACAGCCAGTCTTAAAAAGAAGAAAGTCTTAAAAAGAAGAACAAAATCCAAGAACTCACACTTCCCAGTTTCAAAACTTACTATGAAACAAGAGGAAACAAGACAGTGTGGAACTGGCACAATGACAGACACCAGTGAAACTGAACTGAGACTCCAGAAAGAAACCCATTTGCCAACTGATTTTCAACGAGAAAGCCAAGACTATTCAGCAGGGGAAGAACGGTCTTTTCAACAAATGGTTCTGAGACAACTGGATAGCCATATACAAAAGAATGAGGTTGAACCTTCATACCATATGTAAAAATTAACTCAGAATCAATCGAGACCTGAATATAAATAAAAATCAAATTAAAATCTCTTAAGAGAAAAAAACAAGATCTTCTTCATGGCCTTAGATTTGCCAATGGAGTCTTATATATGATCCAACTGCGCAAGCAATAAAAGAAATAAATAAACTGACATCATCAAAATTTAAAACTTTTGTGTTTCAGTGTATACTACTATCAAGAAAGTGAGACCTCCACCCACAAAAGATGCTATCTGCAAGTCACATATCTGATACAGACTTATACTCCATAATATAAAAAGAACTATCACAACTCAACAATAAAAAAATTAAACAAAAAATGGGCAGAAGACTTAAATAGCTATTTCTGGGTAAAAATACACTCCCACATATACAACCCAAAAAGGAAGGAAAATGGAGGGAGAGGCAAGAAAGGCAAAGCTGGGGAAGCCAGCTCATCAGATCGGATCTGAAGCAGGAGGGCCAGTCTTCACAGTGCAGGTCATGTTACACTGGAAGTTTAAAAATATTCTAATGCCATGTACAAATTTTTTAGGTATACGTTGTTTCTTCTTTTAATTGGTAAAAAATGGTCTATTTGATTGCCAATTCATCTTTTCTCCTCAGATTCCTACCGTATATATAGAATACAATCACAAACATCATATAAAAATGATTCCAACTTCGTACAAGAGAATGCTTTGCACACCATGCAACCCTCTAATTGAAAATATAAAACTTTTATTCATACACAAATTTTCAGGACTGTATTTATTTTATAGATTGAAGTTTATCTTTTTACCTGTTTAATTGTGCTCATATGCTGTTTTTCTGTTTCTGTTCTTTTTTTCAGTTCTTCTCTTAAATTGTCTTTTTCTGAACATATGTCTAGGATGAGCTCCTGATGTTTCTTATTTTCTTTAATTAACCTGATTATGAAAAGGGTAGTATTAATAAAACATAATTGAAAAAGGAAATAGGGAATACAATCTATCTGCAGATTAGGGTATAGATACTTACAATTAATAAATTGACACTTCCAAGTAACCCTTTTGTAATGACACATTACACTTGGAAAAAAATTTCTCTGGCCAGTCTGGCAATGAACATTTTCCTAGAAATTTGTGTATATAACAAGTGAATATACTCAGAGAACCCCACACTCTTCTAAGTTTATTTCCTTGGACATCTCAAATATATACCTTACTCCTTCAGCACCTGAACCTCTTCAGGTCAGCAGTTCTCAACCAGAAAATTCTGGCCCTCCAGGCATTCGTCTAAAGACGTTTCTGGTTGCCACAACAGGGGTGGCATTTGCTACTGGCTTCTGGGGGTGGAGGCCAGGGATGCTGCTGAGCATCTTACAGGGCACAGGCCAGCCCCACCACTGCCAAAGAATGATCTGCCCCCAGTGAGGGTGAGAAACATTGCTTTAGATTTTAAAACTATTTTAACAATACTTTAATGGTTAGAGAAGAGTAGCCAATGTAAAATAACAAAAGCTTAAGCAGAAGTTTCATTTTGTGCCCCTAGAAAAGTGTATAATAAAACCTTAAAAATTACCTGCAATAAGGTAAGATGCTAAAGGTTAACAGCTAGTATTTTACAATTATTAATAGCAACAGTTGTTCCTTAGAATTTATTGCACAATTACTATCTATTAAGCTTAGCTTTAAGTGCATTATTTCACTTAATATTCAAGTCTATGTAAATAATTCTTTCATGAATAAAAAAACCCTGAAGCCTAGAGCTTGTTCTAGTTCACATAGCTAGTAAGTGGCTGACCTGAGATTTGAGCCCATGTCTAATTCTACAGCCCAGGCCTTCACATCTTCCACTTTGAAGATCTCTTATTCACTCAACAAACACTTACTGGGAACCTACTATGTACCTGTATTATTCTGCATGTTAAAAGTATGTCAGCAAATCGTCCCTGCCCACATGGAGCTTACATTCTAAGGGAGAATATTAAAATAAAAACCAATTAGGTGCATAATAAAATGCCAGGTAGAAGGTAAGTCCTATGACCAAAACTGAAGGAGGGTGAGAGAACGGAGAGGAACCTGAGCTGTGATTTGAGATGAAGTCATTAGGGGAGACCGCTCTGAGGACCACAGGGCTGCAGCGAGGAGGCACGTCCTACAAACGCTGGGAAAGAGAAACATGCAGCGTGCGAGTTCATCCGAGCCTTTTGTGTCATGGTTGTTTAACTTAGATTATTTGTATAAGGTGTGCACTCAATCTATTGCAGAAGCACAAGAATCTCAAGTAAACAATTTAGGAGGGGGAAACGAAGAGCAGCAAGCCCTAAAATTATTCTTACATGCCAAATGCACACCCTATACACAAACTGTTCTTAACTGAGAATTCTGGTTGGGGCCTTGGAGAATATTAGTATCAGAAAATCGGGGAATGGATATATAAACAAAGACATCTGGAAATAGATGCATTCATGAAAATTTAGGCCAAAGGAACTGAAACGCAGTTTTAGACGTAACCTAAGTCCTGAATCTTTTAATTTGGAATTAAAATTATTATGTGTGTAACAAAAGATTAATGTAGATTTAAAAACGACAATATCTGACATTTTCATAATGCCTTAATGTACACAAAACAACGTCATCAAGTAAGCATCATCCCCTCAAACAGAAGAAAAATCTTTGACTCAGAGAGGGTGTGATGTGGCCAACAAAAAAGAGCTCACCAATGACAGGGGCCCCTCCCACTCCAGGGCTCTGAGCAGGCCATGCTTGCTCATCTGCCATGCTGCTGCTGTTCAGACAGGACACGGGGGAAAAAGGAATGAAACTTACCTGTAAATATTAAGAATAAAGTAAAAAAACTAGTAACTTGTAACTAGTTCATTTCAGATACCACATGAAAAATCCTCTGAAACCAGACTAACTAGGCTCAGATTCTAACTTTACTATTTATAGAAATGTGATCTTGAACAAGTGCTTAATCTCTTTGTGCTTCAGGTACCCCATCTATAAATAGTAATAGTTCACACCAAACAGGGTTATTGTGAGGATTCTATGAGTTGACATACATAAAGGGCCAGGCACATAATTAAAGTATGTATTTGTGGTTATTGTTACTAAAAGTAAATCTTATCATTTACAAGAGAGGCATGAAAGTGATTACAAGTCCAGATCTAAGGAAAGTGGGAAGTGGCATCTCACAGGGAAGGTCTAAAAGAACAGCTGGAAAATCAGGTAGTTATGCCAAAAGGCAAGAATGGCAGAAACACTGGGTTCAAGTACAAAGTCATATAGTTTATTCATAATAGCAAGAGTTCCAGGAACAATGAGTAGGCATAGCAACCATTAGTTTTGGGGTAGTATTATAGTAAAAGGGCCTTGGAGTCTCAACAGATCTGTACATTCATAGTCAAAGCAGTATTATTCACAATAGCCAAAAGGTGGAAGCGACCCAAATGTCCACTGATGGATGAATGGATAAACGAAATGCGGTTGTACATACAATGGGATATTGTTCAGCCTTAAAAAGGAAGAAAATTCTCACACATGCTACAGCATGAATGAACCCTGAAGACATCTGCTAAGTGAAATAAGCTGGTCACAAAAAGGCAAATTACTGTATGATTTCATTTATATGAAGTTATCAAGAGAAGTCAAACTCTTAGAAACAAAGTATAGTTGATCCTTGAACAACACGGGGGATGGGGCACAGACACCCCCAGCCTGGGGCAATTGAAAACCTATGTGTAACTTCTGACTCCCCCCAAAACTTTACTAATAGCCCGCTGTTGACTGGAAGCCTTATTGATAACATAAACAGTAAATTAACAGATATTTTGTATTCGTATTATCTACTGCAGTCTTACAATAAAGCTAGAGAAAAAAATGTTAAGAAAAATCACAGAAAGAAAAAATATATTCATAGTACTGTGTGTATATATTTAAATAAAAATCCATGTAAAAGTGGACCCACGTAGTTCAAACACAAGGGCCCAGAACAGAATGGTGTTTGCTGGGGGCGGAGAGCAGGGGGAGATATGAGCAGTTCGATGGGTACAGTTTCAGATTGGCAAGATAAATACGCAATGGAAATCAGTTGCAGAACAATGTGAATGTAATATACTTAACGCTATTAAAATGTATACTTAAAAATGGTTAAGATGATTTTATGTTGTGCATTTTATCACAATTTGAAATAAAAATTAAAAAGTAATTAAAAAAGAGGGGCTATGGATGCTAAAAGATTAAAGTTCACTGGGTGAACCAATGAAGGTGAGCTGGTTTGGGAAAGAGCGATCCAGTGAGCAAGATAATCTGAAACAGTCAAGACCGGAAGCAAGTTACAACTGAAGACCGATTCCATGTCCAGCAGTCTTTGAATTAAGGTACATTTTCTTCTGCCATCTCCCTCTGGTATGTAAACTTCCTCCCCCTCTTTCTCTACACATTCAAGGATCATTTCTTAAAAAGAGACTCAGCCTGTATTTGAGGGAAGGCTGGCGTGTTTCCCTTTCTTAAGGGCAATAAAACAGCCTCTCCACAGATGCGCCACTTCCATAAACCCAGAATGAAAACATGGGGTGAAATAACACTATTAGGAAAAGATACAGTGAAATTAAACTCATTAAGATAAAAATTAACTCCACAAATACACAAAGTCTAAAAAGAACTATGCTGTTATTTACTGAGTGATAAATTCTTCTGTTAGTTTTCAAAAAATTTTAGTTTTTTTAAACTAATGAATTTACAATAGGGATTTTAAGAAAAATTATTTTGAATTTTATGACTTCTCGTTTCCTTTTTTAATTACTCACGATTTCTTTAAAAGATTTTATTTATTTTTATTTTTAGAGAGAGCGGGAGGGAGAAATAAGTAATATAATATTACTTATTTCTGAAAACAATGACTGGCTGCCTCTCACATGCCCCCAAATGGGGACCTGGCCCACAACCCAGGCACCTGCCCTGACTGGGAATTGAACCTGTGACCAAAGCTCACAGGCTGGCACTCAGTCCAGTGAACCGCATTAGCCAGAGCCGAATTACTCAGTTTTGTAGAGCATTTTGACAATATGCTTCATATATTTTTTCAAAACTGAAAAATTTGAGTTGTCTTTCATAAATATTTCTAGATCTTTAATACAGTTACACTATTTAATAAAATGTCATTAGGTTTATATATTAAAACATGTAAAACAAACATACGTTCTGAATCATATTCATAATACTGACTTTATATATACATATGTTTACACAAGCTGGTGTATGATATGGGTATATAATATATATGGGGTGGGCAAAAGTAGGTTTACAGCTGTAAGCACACAACATACACTTTATTCTTGTGTGAATACTTATAGAATATTATATTACTTATTTATATTGCAACTGTAAACCTTTTGCCCAATCCATATAGAAATACTGATGTATACCTGTTATTTCTAAGATAATGAAAATAAAACACCACATTCTAAAAAAACAGACTTATAAATTAAATCTCTAGACACACGTGACATCTGCTTAATTATTGAGTAAATACATATTTGTTGACTGACTACAAAGTGCGTGGCTCTGCTGTGCAATTAAAAGTGGTCAAGATGCTGTCTTCCTTTAAAGAATAACATCTTTAATCCCTGTGGAAAAAAGTAACCTGAGAGAATAAAAACTTACTTCTTTATGGTGTGTTCCTGTTGCAAATACTTATCTTGCACACACTTTTCAAACATAATTAATGCGTGTTCTCCCTTGTTCATTCCATTTGGCACTCGATGCTCTGCAAAATCTGTAGACAAGAGCTCAGATTCTATTTCTTCCAACAAATCCTCTGATGCTGAAACATTCCTCATTTTTGAAATAAGTTTCTTGGTGCAGTCTGTGTCATAGGGACTTTCTGAGTAAGTCTTCTGACCAGCTGCCACGGTAAATGTAGGCGATGTTAATTCTGCCAGTATTTGAGTTACTGTCTGTTCAGTTTCATTTGTTTTAGAAATTTGCTTTGTAAAATCTCCACCTGGAAAATCAGCTGTTTGTTCAGAATTTTCTGGGCATGCGTCCGTTTTACCACAGGAATTCTCACCTCCACCACGATCTGGAACATAATTTTCCTGTGCTTCCATCTGGTTGTTGTGTTCACTGGGTCGACATGAAGTGTTATCGAAGGTTAATGACGACAGTGTGGACTCATTTTCTAAGCCGCTGCCTTCGTCACCAGACAACGAGCTGCGTGCGTCTTCCTTCGGTGCAGGTGCTCCCCCAGTTCGTTCATCAGAGGCGGCGGAGGCTGTGCGCTCCGTCCCTGACATGCTGACTGCCACCAATTTACGGCGTCCGTCCGCACTCCTTCAAATCTGTTCCCGATGTTCGCCTTACATCTGCGAAAGTCAAAACATCCAAATTTAGAAAGGGAAGTTTCTGAAAACCAAAACCCCGTATGTGCACATATCCCATGATGTGGAATAACTAAGGCCACAAATTTATCACTAATTATTCTTTTAAAAGCCCTTCCTTGAGTGGAAAAAAAAAAAAAGAACAGGACGCCCCATGCAAGTGCGCCACAACCACAGGGGCGCTGGAGTCCCATCCTCTGGCCTCCTTCCAGGTCAGCCACAGCCCACTTTGGACTGCAGTCTGGTGTCCCTCGGTCACCCCTATAAGAGGTGGGTGTGGAAAAAGACCGGTACCTGGGAGGTTAGTGCCAAGGAATTGTTCAGAATTCCTTCAGCTCCACAAGAGGAAAATGAGTATCTCGAGAATCTGTACGAAAATACTGATGGCAGTGAAAACACCAGAAGAGGAGTTGCAAACCAAAACAATAAAACAAGACAGAGCACCACCTGGGGTGGTGAACACACAGTACAATATACAGATGATGTATTACAGAACCGTGCACCTTCAACCTACATAATTTTATTAACCAATGTAACTCCAATAGATTCAATTAAAAAAAGACATATTACCAATGTCAAAAATTCGCTGAGAAGGAAAACTAAACAATAACTAAACAGTCACCGATAGACCAAACACCTAGAGCCAAACTGAAAACGAATCAGTGTAAAGGATCCCTGTCAGAAATCTGTTTTTCACCCAGGCCGGGATCCAGGAAGTGCCGTGGTGACTTCCCAGCCTGTCCATCAAGAATAGAAAGTATTCAGTGCAACACGAATGGAGGCCACACACACTGCATCTTGTAAAAGCAACATTCACAAAACTAACCCCAACCATGTTGTAAGGCATCTGTATGCTACATATGAGGGTTACTATTCCAGCTCTTTCCTGAAAATAATTCAGCTTCAAAATTATCCTAGGACAGATAAATTTAAAACATTCCAGCAATCTTTATTTAAAAAAGGGAATTGTCAACTTCTTTTGTCAGATACCAACATAGCAGATGAATTACTAGAGTCACATCAAGTTGGGTAAAAATGTAAGATCACAGTTTTGGCAGAACTAGGAAAGAAATATCTCCAGATGGAAGGTGAACTCACAAAACGCAAAGAAGATTAAAGTTTTGAATAACAGAAAGATACACTGGTCTGAAAGATCACTTTGGTCTGTGGCGGGGGTGGTGGTCGGAGGTCATCGAGAGGAGAAGCTGGTCAGGTGAGATGCTCAGGAAGACAGACGGGAGTGAGTTTGATTAAGAACAGTAAATCAGGACTGACTTGTACATACTTGATTAAGCTACAGAACTTCTGGCATAGAGTAGGTTCTTAAATATTTGTTGATTTAAAACATAGTGTGACGTGATATAACCAGTATTTGAGGAACATTATTCTAGGGATGCAGAAAACAGGGAGAATAATATTAAGAAAGGAAAAGAAGACTGGTTTACTTGTCAAATACTGTCTTTTAATTTAGACTGTCCTTTAGGTATCAACTAATATTGACATTGGCCTTAATACTAAGAATTATCTAGCTGTAAAATATATTTTCCAAATAATCAAATGGAAATTTTCATTCTCTTGCTGAATATGTTAAATATGTTATAACAAAGGCAAAGTCCACACTTGTAATAAAGTTTGGTTTAGACAATACAAATAAATGCAGTAAGTTCATAATTAAGACCTCACAAGTATGCTGTATTCCCAAATCCAGAGAAAGTAAAATCATTCTCAAACAGGGGCACTATACACCTGTATTACCTTCCCATTACCTTAATGTAACTCACTTTAAGATGTAACCTGAGAATGGGTTGCTGCTGAATTTGAACTTTTAATTTAGAAATGAACCTATAAGCTAACAAAGTCGTTTTAAACGTCATAACTAGTCCATGCTTTACCAACCGAAGTAGAACTCAGAGCTGACCAAAACGGACAGGACTGCGGATGAGGGCTTTCAGAGAGCAAGTCTGCACAGGCGCTGTGCCGCTCCAGAACACAGAGCAAGTGAGAAGCAGCTCGGGCATTTGAGAACTTTGTGAGTATCGACTGTGTGTCAAGCTCTGTCAAAAAATAAAAGCACTAAGCAAAACATTAGTCCTATCCCCTCATCCGTCATCATATTCTCCAGGGTTCCAGTCCTCAACTTTGTCTTCAGGCCCTCAATTCACCCACTTCAGTAACTTGAACCAACAACTCATAGTTGATGCCCACATTATTTTCAGTCCTGTGTTCCTGAGTTAATGAATTATCTGTACCTTCAATTTCACTCTCCATCTGTATGAAAATCCCCACCTGAGTGTAGGACTTTCCACGGAATGTTCCACCATAACCTCACACTCAAAATGGCTAAATCTAAAACTGTAAATACCTCCGATAACTGAATACCCCCAGCTAATCTTTTCTGTCAGTGGCACTGTTTTTCTCAGTCATGACTCCTTCCTTTCCTTCGTCCTCTTCTGCCAATTTCACGTGTCCTACAATTACAGCCTCCTTTCTACTGTCACGGGCCCCACTGCAACCCGGTCCAGGCCTGATCACGCCATAACTGGGACACGTGAACTGCTCAACCTCACTCCATTCCCCACAGCTCCAACTAGAGGACCAAGGTTAATTAAAGGACAAGTGTCATTGCATCCAAAGAAGGAATGGATATTTTCAATACCATTGGTTCTGCAAAAGGGCCATAGAAGGGGCCCAGTGAAGTGGGTCCCCAATTGCAGAAGGGGCCAGGAAACTACAACACTGCCCCTAAAAATACCCACACGGACCCCCTCCCCAAGCCTGCCATCAAGTGCAACCAGATGAATGAGTGAGGCCAGGGCTATCTCTTCCCTCTTTAGAGGTTCAGGCAATGAGAACTCTGTCCCCACAGACTGGTCTTTTCCCCCACCCCACCCCCCACTCCAAAAGGGCTGGCTAGAGAAAGGACAGGGAACATATTTTAGAGCCAGATTACACCTGTTCTTCAAGCCAAGCCACTGGGAACTAAAAGCCTCAACCTCTCTACAGGGAGAGGAATGTGTTTGGTTTTTGTTGCTTGTTTCTGTTTTTTAGATTACTGAAATGTTTTAATTTCTGCAATACGTTTTTTAGTAATCAAAAGTGGCAGACAGGTTATAACATCAAACCAAGACATTATTAGGGGACTGCACTTCAGAGGGAAGTGGAGGGAAGACTGGGGCGTTTCACTCCGTATGGCTGGGACCCATTATGGAAAACCAACGACACACATTTTGTGTCCATACCTCAGGGCTATGATTCCTCCAGTATACCAGCTGGCCTACTTTCCCAATCCCTAAAATCCTATACTTCCCTACCCTCTGCTATCCCCTGACCAGTCTATTCATGGGCTAACACTTCCAGGGCTTTGCTCCTCCCACCAGAATGGCCTTCCCTTTCTTTTCTCCAGAGCCTGGTTAAATTTAAAGGAATGACTCGAACGCTGCATCTTCCTCCAAGTTTTCCCTCATCACAGTTCAAAAATGATCTCACATAAATGATAGCATACTACATTTATCCCCATCAAGCAGAGTCACAGCCTTCCTTGTGACATTTAAATGATCTGTGTACCTGTGAGGAGGAACTTCACTCAGAACTGATTCAAACTTCTTAAATCTCAAACAACAGTAACAATAAATACGTAAATAAATCTAACAAATAGATCCTCTACGAAATTTACACTCATTCCTGCGAATGCTGTTCAGCCAGTTCTCAGTGGGGGGTGGGACCCACTGGGTTTGCACAATAGTCTGGGGGCCTGAACAGCATTTAGCGGATGGGAACCAGGTTGCAACAAGACTCACGATGTGCAAGACAGCACAGAACAACAAAACTTTGTCTCATTCTGCTGGATATTCATCTGGGGTTAAAAAAAACCCCACCTGATTTCATAATTGCCTCAGCTTAGATATTTTACTATGATCCTTCTATAAATTACAAAATGCTTAGTTTAACCTCAAAAGACAAGTACTTTCTATACTGTTGCTCAGTACTATGCCCATGACCTTTGAAAAAGTCTTCATATAAAATGGCATCTGATAACCAGTTAGCTTTCAGACTTTGTTTTCTGATGCTTAAACGAGAGTGGAGGCAGGTGAAAAAGGAGAGGGGTTAACGAAGATCCACGTACGAAAAAGGAGAGGGGTTAACGAAGATCCACGTACCTATGTACAAAACCATCACCAAAGATGAAATAAGTACACAATGAGCTTGACCATGTCCATGCTCAACCAGGGGAAAAACAGCTGAGTCCTCTCACTGGTCTCCACTTGGCAATGCTGATGTAGGCCAATTTGGCTGCTGTCTAAGATTTTGGGGGTTGGGGGAGGGAGAGTTGCCATCAAAGCTACTGAGGATGGAAAAATTTAGAAGTAGATTAAAGAGGGAGGATGTAAAACTAGACACTTGTTTACAAGATTGTTTTGATAAGTGCTTGTATAAATTAACACTCATATAGATATAGTGATTAAATTATAGATCACAATGCATACCTTTCGCCTTAAAAAATAACATAGATTACTTGACTTTCAGCAACTACAACTCATTGGGGGAAAACACTGTATCTACAACTTAGCACAGCCACAAAATCCTCTTAATTCAGCACGCCCCCACCCCCCACCCCGGCCAGAGTAGTGTGTTTCTGACAGAGCACTACAGGACCAGCTCACACGTCCGCATCGTTTCAGTGCAGTGAGAACTGGAGTCGCTCTGACTGGAGCTCATCAGCGGCAGGCAACTGGTCAAGAAACATTTTTCACTTGCCTAAAGCCAACCATTATCCACCTTGGATTTTATTTCTTAAGAAAGAACTCGCATTCCTACAAAATTATTTCCACACGAGAGCCATATAAATGAAAACACTGTCTTCAACAGCTTTGTTTTCCCAGTACATTAGCAGGATAAACAACAAAAAACTTAAACTTATTCAATAAATTGCAAATACAAATGAATCCAATACACAGATTTTGGTAACAGACTTCATACAAATATGACAAAGTCAGAAGTACATTTCCAAACTAGATATTAATTCATTCACTAAAAATGTATTGAGCATTTATTATGTGCAGGCAGAATCACATGTTCCACGTTTTGGGAGCAAAGCAATCAATAAGTCTTTATTGGAGTTCACATTCTGATATAGCGGGCCAATACACAGAAGCTCTATGTGAAATCTTTTTTTGTGTGTGTTTATGGTATTTTAATTTGAAGATCTGTCAGTGCTATCTGTACAACTGTTTTTAAGTCCAGCAGAAGAATCTGACTCAGTTCAGTATAAATATTATTTATAACAAACTACGATTTTTAAATTATAAATTGTACCATTTACATCTCAAATAACACAAGTGCACACTTTCCACATAATTTACATTAAGATAAGTAAAGCCTGTGAGCGTTTCTGTTTTTCAATATAATGGTTTCTCATCTTTTGAAGGACAAATACATTAAAAAGGTTTTTTACACAGTCTCCAAATACACTTTGAAAGCAGCATAATCAAATAAATAATTTATCTTTCTGAGGAGTTCTAACAAGGTTCTGATATTGCAATTAAAATCAGAAGCAATACATTAAATAAAAAAATCATCCATTGTCCAACACTGTCTGATCTCAATCCCCAGGTAAATGAATTTTAATGGCATTAACTTTAAAATACAAACATTTCTCTAGATAAAGTTTTTAAAAACAGAATAAAGCAACAGAACAAAAAAGAACCCGTGTAAGAAACATGAAAACCTTGTTTCACTAAGTGAAAATATCTGACACTGTGAAGTTCATAGAAGGTGAATTTATGCAAATCAAATTCTACTTTTAAAATTAAAAATTGAGATGGCCTACTTCAAAGAATTATAGATTAGTATGATCAAAAGAAAGAAATATTCGTAAAGCAGTCAGATTCTAATTAAGCTTTTGGGTAAATTGTAATATATTGAATTTCTTTTACATGAAACATAATCACTATACTTTAAAAGCTGCCTTTAGTCCACCACTTTGAAATGTATGTTTTGTGAGCCCAAGGTCAATTATACCTGTAGAGGGTTGTTAATCTTTGCACCCACAGGGCAGGGTGAATTTTTCAGTATGTGCATTATATCTCATGCACACACACACACACACACACACATGCACACACACAAAAGACACTACAAAGACTCAAGGCAATCGATGCAGCAGGATCTCCCGTAAAATAATACTGAATCCTGTGACAGAATTAACAGGAGAAACAGAAAGTTGTGGTCCATCAAAATTCCAGGAAAAAGAAGGTAAAAGGCCACGGCATGTATCACATCATCAAGTCATATGCCGTATTATCAGCTGGTGTCTTAGATCCCTGCAATTTTATGTATCTCTAATAATAACTTTTAAAGCACAAATAATTACTATAGAAACCTTAATTTGAAGCTAGGTGTATAGAGCTCACAATATGAATTTTAATGAGTCTAAGAAAACATTAAGTATTTTCTTCTAATTTCCCCCCAAATCTGAAAATTAAAAGGAGAAAAATTTGACCTATGGTTCCCTATACAAAAAAGGAGGCTAATAATAGCCTTAAAGAGAGAGAGAGAGAGAGAGAGAGAACTTGTAAGTCTGACTTACGTTAAGGAGTTCTGATTAATGTTTAAATTTGAACTACCTTTGGCCTGGGCTTGGTATGATGTAGTTTACAAAAAAATCCAATTACTCATTAGCACTTACTACATAATCATCCCTACAGGAGACTATCGGTTCATATCTCCTAATGACAAATACATTCACAATCCAACAATACTTTCCTTTGCTGGGTTTGATTTCCACTATGTATCTGTTGCCCTTTCACCCTAATATTTTTCCTTTTGTTTACTGCTTAGCCCAAACAGATATTTAAAATCTCAGTAACTGAGAGAAAAGTTCAAAGGACAAATGTGAAATATATGATAAGATTAGAAGGTTAATTGTAAATTTCAATTATCTATGCTCCCACTGTTGCCCTGAAAGGAGTATATAAATACTGTAAGCTCAGTGTCATGTTTCTGAAAAATCTGAGAATTGGCTTTAGTGATTTAAAGCTAGAGATAAGTAAAAGAAAAGTCTAAATTTTATTCAAAGAAAAAATAACAGAACTTAAGGCTAAGGATTCTTTAACAGGAAACTATTTGATGGATTTGGAAAACTAGAACGGATTACTAGTTATTTTTCAAAGGCAAAGATGGTTTGTCTAAGTATGTAAATAAGGCTGCTTTGCCCTATCATCTCTCCCTAAAGAGTGAGACTACTGCTACACTGTTTTATCTTCAGGATGTCAGAATGTAGTGTAAGGAGAAGTTTTTTACATTAAATATACTAATCAATCCTCATCAGCTGTGCTGTCATTGTGCAGCACCAAAGAGCGACTCTTGAGTTTATGGGTGAATGAATAAAAGGTTATAGACGGGATACTGGGCTATACCACTCCTTTTGTGTTATCAATAAATAAGTCTGACATACAAATGGCACTCCGGAATCTATCTCCACTATTTAAAGAAACCTTCAAGTTTACATGCAGGTATTCTGAATTAGAGATGGTCTTAGAAATAAAATCAATATAAACACAATCAATCCATACATTTCCAGGGAATAAAAACACTATCAACACAAGCAGGGCATTTCTCGGTAGATTCTTTAATAATTACACATGAATGCCTATTTCAATGTAAAAAGGAGTGTTAATTCTTTAACTTCTGCAAGATTTTTGAATTACCCAAAAACCATCACTGAATTTTAAACAACATGAAAAGACCATAAAAGGAAACAAGAATGAGGCCAATCATCACTGTTTTCTATTTGTATAATAGTGAATAAAGAATTGAAAAGTAGCTGTACAGAGAGAACAGTAAACTTGATACGCAAGCAGACACTTCAGTTTCACTATGTCTTTAGAACCTTAATCTTTCCCACAAGATCAACATTGCAAATATGAAGGTGTCGTAGCAGTTGGGAAGGCTACAGCCACTAGCATACCTAGACACTTAATTAGACCTTTTTTTCCCCCCTTGAATGACTACCAGCACCTCTCTTCAAACACTGTTCCACTGACTGACTGCACATTTTCCTGGGAAAAACTCCCACCCTACCATTTTGAAAGAAATAAAAAAGCTGGGCATCAAGGGAAGATGACACATGCACAGAGAAAACTGCGAAATGTCTGGGACAGTGTGGCGTATCTTTACTGTACTATTTTATTCCCATAGCTAAGTAGACTACCAAGTGGAAGAGGCAGTTTCTAACGCTAATGTTACGACTCCAAAGACCGGCCTCTTTCCTCAGAACAAAATCAAGATGTGAATATTAGTTGTACTTATTAAACTGTTACCAGCTGAGCAATAACCACACCTGCACTGTTCCCCAGGATTGCTACTACGGGACCTGTAGAAGGAGATTCACCTTTTTTTTTTTTTTTTTTTACACGTTGGGTAGAAACACAAATGTAAAATATCCTTCTCACCAGCCAAGGTTTATCACATGTCTTGATATCTTCGGAAGAACGGCAACATAAAAACAAAGACCACATCTCTCATATTCACAATCCCAAAGAATTGTGTCCGAGTTACTTAAAATCAAAGTAATGGCAGTGTTCAAAAGAGCGCAGAAAGTGGCCACACAGTACACATAAAACACACACACAACAACAGACAACTTGAGCTCAGGAAAAAAGAGATAGGCGACTGACTGCATGCAAGATCGCAAGCAGGTGGGGCTGAGTTGCAGTTCGCATTGGGAAGCCAATCAGCCCAAATTCCGCCACTCTCCAGGCACTGCTCAGCTGGCGCGGGGGCGCGGGGCCCCAGGACCCCAGTCAACCCATCTAACCTCGTGTCCCCTGGCAGCCCGGGACCGAGGGTGGGAGGGAGGGAGGAAAGGGGATCACAAACTCCATCCCCCAGAACCCGTCTTCTCCTATCAGCTGGGCCAACCCCGGGATTTGCAGGACAGCGTGAAAGAGGGGCAGTCCCGCTGCGCTGCCACCACGACTCCCGGTCTGCCCTGGGCGCCCCTCGGGCACTCACCCCACTGCTCCGAGCTTCACGCCGTACCCCTAACGCGGCCAGCAGAGCTCCAGCTTACGGACCAAGTTCTCCATTGTGGGGTGCAGCAGGTGAGGAGCTGCGGGGGGGCGGGGGGGGGCAGCAGTGGGGAAAAAGGGCGGACACCGCACTCTCCCACCGCAGCTTCCCCAAAGACCCGCTGAGCTGACACATCAACAAAGATGGCGGCGATGCTGAAACCGGTCCTGCTACAGCTGAGGGGGCGGGGCTCCCTGGGGGAGCCAATCAGCGCGGTGCGGCCGGTGTGACACAACGCACTTCGGGGCCAATGCAACCAGCCTGCAGGGGGCGGCGGCGAAGCGCCGCCTCCAGTCCCAGAGTCGCCAACCTCACTCTCAGGGCACCCACGCCCGGGCAAAGCCGGTTGTGCTGTATCTAGTCCCGTCCTACCTCTTGCGTTCCTAAGGAGCCAAGTGAATTACTTCTTCCTGTAGGATGCGCCCATTGGATGCAATACGCCTCACCCTTTGGCCCTCCCTTGTATTAGTCAGGAGCATAAAGCAATAAAAGAGAATTCGAAATTCCGACTTCCCAGCTCTGACGCGCAAAACTTACACCTGACGTGGGCGGAGTCATCACAGGTAGCCTAGCTGTCCTTCTGACAATTCATCCTCGGTAGAGTCTCTGGGGGTTTCCATAGCGCCGCGTTCCTGTACACAGCGCCGCACCTTCTACCATTGTTTGGTCATAAACTGCTGGTGCGTTCGTGTCTGGCACCGACTGTAAGCTGCGTGAGCACCGGGTATCCCCGCCGGCAGCATGGGTTTTGGCATGTAGGAGTTGCTCGATAATTAGCAACTAAAAAGTGATTTGGCTTTGGGGGAAGTGTATGGAATACAGTGGCCTATTTAGGTCTGGAGAAGTCAGGTGAGCAGTTCCAGTTTGTGGAGATGCAAACCCACTCTGGCCGGTGAAGTAATGTTTTTCTGGTTTAGGGCTTCTTATGCACCACTCATGAGTGAAAAGAGTGAATTCTGACAGTGGTCAATACAAGTGTTTGTCAAGCAAAACTGTTATGATAGGACAAAAGTCTCAAGGTCTGGAGAGTTCTAAATGTTATTTCTTGCTAAATGTTCAAACATAGTGTAGTTTTTCTAGATGTAGCTGTAAACAGGATGAGCTGATAGGAGCTCAAGTAGATGAAAGTAGCCAACTGCAAAGAAGAAATCAATACGTAGTTGATGAAATAGTATATATAACGAATGGCTAAGCCTTCCTTTGAGGAAGCACAGCTTTGTATATGAATCCCAGTTCCTTTACTTGCTGCTAGCAAATAAAACTACCTTGTGATGGTGCTTCTGTTTTTTTTTTTTTTAATGGCTTATACCAACCAGGGAAATCCCTGAATCCCTTGAGTTCAGTTCAGCGACCCAAGTTCCTACCATTCTGTTCAGCTTTGTTACTAACTGCTGCAGAATAAAGAGAGGGAGGGAAAGAGAAAATAAAGAAATCACTTTTTAAAAAGTTATGTAACTCTCTTCCTCTTTCCTTTTAAACAGGAAATGGCACCACCCTCCTTCAATGAAGATACTGTATTAAAACACTTTTGTAGTTGACCAACTATTCTGAGTGAGAAATATTATTCCAAGGGGGAAGACTGAAGAAGCTTTCATCTTTTTACAGAACTCGTCAGTTATAACATTCATATTTTTATTTTTGAAATATAGATTATATTAGTATAAAAACATAAAAGTAATTATGTCTTCCAGAAACCAAAATTTTCAGTACTGGGGAAATTAAATTACAAATATAAAATCAAATTAAGCAAAAACAAACCCTACAATTCTAAATTTGAATTTAGAAATATCTGTATAAATATTTGTCATTTTAAAAAAAGTCTAAGTCTATACACTGAGAAGGTCAAGTACAGTAGTCAATTCAATGCTCCAGATTACCATCTCTAAATATAATTTCTCTAAAAAAAACCTCACCTGGGCTCCTATTGGAGATCAAGAGCTGATTCTAAGTGTGAGACAAGAAATATACAAGAAAGCTTAGATCATGTTGGTTGTACCAGAAAAGAAAGAAGAAAACCAAGATAATAGGACTTGGGTCAGAAAAAAAACTCCAAAGAGGCATTTTAAAGGTGCTTCCACAGTTCAAAGATTTTTTATCATTTAAAAATAATAACAACAGCAATTGATTAGGACACATCTGCTACATTAAAATCAATGAATGTGCTGATTTTCCAAAACATCATTGGACACCTCTGAATGCTAAGGAATCACCACAATCTGAAAACAAAATAATCAAGCATCCTACCTTCCCTGTTGCAAACAGAACCTCAATCAAACAGTCAACGTGGGAAAGTTCTTTATAGATTTCCAGGTACTACATGCAAAAGATAGGCTATTACCATTTTACAAATCCTGATGAAATAATGGATCTAGGTAATGAACAGCAGTGAGTCTATAATACCTAGGTGAAAAGCTGACAGGAAACTTGATAGTGGATAGTTGGGACTGACAACACTTGAAACTGGTAGGAATACTTTATTATTTCCCAAGAGAACAACTAGATATTAAGCATCTTCTGATGTGATTCAATAGAGCAGTGATTTTTCAACCCAGATGCCATGGCACACTGTTGTGCCACAAGAATTTTTAAGACATGCAATACCTGACTAGTCAGGGGCACTGGCCTCTTCTCTCTTAGATTGTCAAATTGAAAAATGACAACAATAAACACAAAAATTGCTGTCTGGTATGAATGAATCAAAATTATACCTATATTTTAGTCAGATCAGCAAATATATATATATATATTTTGGTGTGCTGTGGAACTTTAATAATTAGTTTATTTGTGCCATGAGATAAAAAAGGTTGAAAAATGCTACAGTAGAGGATTACAATACCATTTGTGAAGTATTCTTTCCAGAAGGGATGCATTCAACAAAACCCAATGTGAGAAAAACTACCGTTACCTCACTATAGATTTTGTAAGAAAATGAAAGGATTAAAAGATAAATCTCTTTTTAAAATACATAACGCAGACCTCTGGCCAAGATGGAGGCCTAGGGAGATACACTTCACCTTCTTGCACAACCAAAGGAAGGACACCAACAAATTTAAAAACAAAAAAGAACCAGAACTGCCAAAATATCTTACTGAATGGAAGTCCGACAGCAAATGAGTTAAAGAAGAAACATTCATCCAGACCAGTAGGAATGGCGGGGACAGGTAGCCGGGCAGAGAGGACTCGCAGCAAGGCAGCAACTGGTGGACCAGGCGAGGTGATGGCTGGCGGAGCGGGTGGTCCCACATTCGTGTGCAGATAGACTGGGAGGAAGCAGCTGGGGAACAAGACAGGCAGCACAACCCAGGGCTCCAGCTCAGGGAAATAAAGCTGCAAAACTTCTGACTGAAAAAACCTGTGGGGGTTGAGGCAGCACAAGAAACTCCCAGCCTCACAGGAGAGATATCTTTAGAGAGACCCACAGGGTCCTAGAACATACACAAACCCACCTACCCGGGAATCATCACCTGAAAGGGCAAAATTTGATTCTGGGTAGCTGTGGAAGTAATTGAAAGCCGAGCAAGAGTGGAACACAAGAGTGTTCCCTCTTGGACCCCTCACCCACATTCATTGCCACAACTCAGGCATGAGGGTTGCCCCACCCTGGTGAACACTGAAGGCTCTGCACCTTACTGTGTAACAGGCTCACCTAGACACACACACACACACACACACACACACACACACACACACACAAAAGATATGTCCCAAATGAAAGAACAGATCAAAGCTCCAGAAAAAAATACCACAAAGCAATGAAGAGATAGCAAACTTATCAGATAGAGAGTTCAAAACACTGGTAATCAGGACGCTCACACCAATGGTTCAGTATGGTTGCAAAATAGAGGAAAATGTACAAGGAACCAACCGTGAAGGGAAGAAAATCAGAACTCAAATCAATGGTTTGGAGCAGAAGGAAGAAATAAATGTTCAATCAGAACAGAGTGAAGAAATAAGAATTCAGAAAACAAGGAGAAGCTTAGGAACTTCCAGGAATTTTAAATATTCCAATATCTGAATCATAGGGGTGCCAGAAAGAGAAGAGGAAGAGCAAGAAATTGAAAACATAATGAAGAGGAACTTCTCAAAAGAAACTTTACAGGCAAGAAGGGGCTGCAAAGAAGTATTCAAAGTCATGAAAGGCAAGAACCTACATCCAAGATTGCTCTATCCAGCAAAGCTATCATTTAGAATGGAACGGCAGATGAAGTTCTTCCCAGATAAGACCAAGTTAAAGGAGTTCATCATCTCCAAGTCCTTATTATATGAAATGTTAAAGAGATTTATCTAAGAAAAAGAAGATCCAAGACTATGAACAGTAAAATGACAGCAAACTCACAACTACCAACAACTAAACCTGAAAAAACAAAAACTAAGCAAACAGAACAGGAACAGAATCACAGAAATGGAAATCACTTGGAGGGTTTTCAGTGGAGAGAGGGAAGGAGAAGAATGAGGGGAAAGGTATGGGGAATAAGAACCATAATTGGTAGGCACAAAATGGACAGGGGGATGTTAAGAATAGTATATAAATGGAGAAGCCAAAGAACTTATATGTACAACCCATGGATAAGAACTAAGCGGGGTGGGGGGAAATGCTGGAGGGAAGGGATGCAGGAAGGAGGGGGATAAAGGAGAGAAAAATAATCAATAAAATATATTTTAAAAAGTACGTAACACAAAAATAGGATCTTGTTTGGTGCCTGATTTTAACATATCAACTATTAAAAATCATGAGACTCTGAAAATTGTAAAACGAATTGTACGATATTAAATTATTTTTAAAGGTGAGATAAATATTGGTGATGTTTTATAAAAGTCATAGTCTTCTAAGTATATATATTTAAACATGTATGTATAGAAACAGAGTCTCAGACAGTGATCAAAAAATAAAATATAAACAACCCAACATTGATGGGAGTATGGCAAAGGAGACAAGAGCCAAATGAAAGAGCTCCCAATGGCAACAGCTGGAAAAAATTAAGCAAGGAAATAATGTAGTGGTGGATTATTAACCAAGATATAAAATAAATGTCATGCTAATATATATATATATTAGCATGACATTTATTTTTAATATATATATATATATAAAGATGATTAAATATGTTAATAAATGGAGAAGAGACAAATCTCCATACAAATGATTT